GTCCAGCAGTTTGCTAGAACACCTGGTCTCCAAAGACAACAAAGATACTGTCAAAGAGGAACTCCAGCATCCTTTAATTTCTATTCCAGAGTATCTGTGTAGAATCAAAGTGATTTTTATATAACAAACTAATTTTGTTGATGACCAATCACAAGAAAATTTCCGAGTTCCATTTTCATTAAAGAAGCAGTTGTCTATATCAAAAATCCTAATTTTTAATTTATTGTGAGAAATGATTGTATAAAGTGTAGAAAAGTCATAAGTTTTGATGTTACTATCTTTTGAAACATTTTGTGATGTTAAAGTTTCGAAAAGTTCTTTGGAGTTTGAGAATCTACCACTTCTAGAGTATGCTGTAGCACAGTATGTCTGAAGTTTATATTTTTATGAGGAGTAAAAATAGGTATACTTTTGGTAGAGCACTTGTTGGACCCGGCAATACAACTAAAAAATAGGTAATAATGAAAGATTACAAAGCTGACCACGACGAATGTTATCTAAAAGAGGGGCAAAGTCTCAAACCAAACGAATGTTCTGAAATTTTATACCTTTAGTCAATACGACTTGGAAAAGATTCCTATTGATTACGAGGTCAATAGGCCAAGGTCAGTTTATATTTTGCATGCATAGTTTTCAGGTGATAATGATGGTTTTCTGCAAACTTAAGGTCATGAATTTCTCTAATTTTAAAAAAACCTAATTGACTTTAAGGACATACACAACGTAATTTTGAACTTTATTTTTTTATTCCCTCTGTAGTTCAAGAGTTTCAATAATTGAAGGACTTCTTGGCGATTTTATGATATCTGGCAATGCTGTAGACCTCCTCTGAATCACATTTTCACTAAAACTATATCTATTATTTTTCTTTAAAAACCAGAATTTTTATAATTTGAAATCTGTTCAAAACTCCTGGTAATGTATGTTATTTTTTTGTCTTCTAAGAACATCTGATAGTACTATGATTTTCAACTAAAAATATCTTGAAAATTATCAGTTGGAAAGATACATAATAAAGTACATGTACGTTGCATATGACCTTAAGGCCAAAAGCTGAAAGGTAAAGGTAGACCTTTTTTCTTTCTCCATCAGTATGTTTTTTCTTTCAGTTCTTCCACCTCTACTTGTCCTGGGGACACAAATTCTATGAATTAGCTTGTTTCCATTGGTTTGAGGTAGTTTGTGTTTGCTTTATTAAGATCTTCCAACAGTCTATTGGCTTGAGGTAGTGTTCACTTTCAACACAAAACTTTGGTTAAGCCCATTTAGAACCTATCAAAAATATTTTTGAATTCGATATAAAGAATTGTTGAATTTGTTTTAATGAATTTAATTCGCTATAACAATTTCTTTGAATTCATTATATCAAATTTAATCCGTTATAATAACAGATTTGTTGAATTTGTTATAACAAATTTAAAAATTTGTAAAAACAAATTAAACTCATTTTAACGAATTCTAAAACTTGTTATAACGAATTAAATTCATTTAAACAAATTCTTTAATTTGTTATAACGAATTAAATTCATCAAAATGAATTGGACAATTCGTTATATCAAATTCATATATATTTTTCTATACGCCCCGATTGTTGAATTTAATTAATTTAAACGAATTTAATTCGTTATAACAAATTTTAGAATCTGTTTAAACGAATTTAATCTGTTATAACAAAGAACTGCGAACGATAGTATTGTTCTCCCGCCTACTTCCAAGTCAATTTTCAAAAGTTAAGATATTCGAATGATTTTTAATATTTATATCGATATTTATATGGATTTTCATAAAACATTATTTCTTTGGGAAAACAACGAGAGATAACTCTAAAATTTTGGTAATACTTGTGTTTTTCACTGTAGAAATCAACGGAAAAAGGAAAATATTTTTAAAACATCCCCCCCCCCCCCCCCGTGAAACAAAAATTCCTTTTTACGGGTAATATGGACTGTCATTTCACAAATTCATACCAAAGCTTTTTGTGTTTCACGGGGGGGAACATATGTTTATATACAAAAAACGACAAAAATCCTTATTTTTTCATCAATTTCAAAGTGCTTTACAACTGAAACATTATATTTTACTTATATATATGCTTAATTTTATATGCATAAAACATAAAAAAAGATTTAAGAAACATTTATTCATATCCAAGACTATTTCAGAATATGTTGATGCTTTATAGCCCAATTTCAGTGGAAAATATCGTCTGCCCCCCTTATGCATAATTATGTTAATTTTGTGTATACTAATGGGCCGTATGGCTTAAAGTTGTTTAATAAAGAATTAAAGAATTTATTTCAAAAGCTGGAATTAGGGATATTTTACTATTTAGCACTGAATTAAAATAATTAATCAATTACGATTGAACTGTTCTTTGTATTAAACAAAGATTTTATGGCCAAATTGTCACCAATATTGAATTAAATGGTTTTAAAATGTAGGCGGGAATCGAGAGTTACCGTGCCTAGTTCTTTTTGAATTTGTTATAACGAATTCAGCAAATCTGTTGTAACAAATTTAATTCGTTATTAGGAATTCAAAAAGTTGTTACAACAAATTAAATTCGTTATAACAAATTCGACAATTCATTATATCGAATTCAAAAATATTTTTTGATAGGTCCTAAATGGGCTTCCGTACGTTATACCTTTTTAGTTAAAGATGATTCATTATAGATAGGCAATCACAAGAAAATGAATGTAATTTCTGCTGGGTGTTTCACCAGTATCCTTTGAAATAAAGAATAAACAACTGTTATCTACATTAAAATTTTATTGTTACACTGAAAGATTGCTACTTGTTAGCATGGCACAATAAACTTTATGTTGATTTTCTACATTATAAAAGAGTTGTATAAATTCACAGGTTAGTTAGGATATATTAACGTAAAATGTGCCATTTGTTTGATATCAACATTGGTTAAATTTAGAAAGTTAAGTAAATGTTCTACTTTGATTGATAGCATTTTGCATAATTAACAAAAGTGAAAGAATTACCAGATAGGTAAAAAAGAAAATACAAACACAATAGTTCTAATTAGGATAAACCGTTGTAGTGCTGTCTAGAAGTTTAAATTACAAAAAAAAATACATCAATTCTATTTAAAAAAAGAATTCAACCAAAATAAAGAGAGCTATTAATTATCATGATAAACTTCACAAAGTTTCACAAAGTTCAGTTTAAGAGATTGTAACAACCTGGGTATAATCATCCTATCATCAGTCAGATCATAATTGTTTTGCATTGATCTAATCTTAATGCTTTAAAGTATTTGCTCTTTATAATTAAACATTTATCACTTCATGCTAAGTGAAAGTAGATTTACAACACAAATACAGATTACCCTTAAAGGTGTAAATCTTAAACATTAAACCTTTTAAATAATGAAATAAATGGGTTTTTTTAAAATCAAAATGCACTTTCCATGAACTCATTTCATGTCACGAATAAGAAAACTAATAAAGTCATATAGATACAAACAAGAAAACTGATAAAGGATGTGATAAACTAGTAAAATTTTACCCCTGTACTAATTTAATATTAAACATTGTCAGTTTGTCACAAGATCAACTTTGAAGTAAGTGCAAGCAAGCAAAGCCAATCCTTGCATAGCTTTTCATCAGACCACCCAGTGGTGTAAATATGGACATCTCAACTAAAACCTTTCTAAAGTTAGAGAACAGACACCTGAACTCTACTTTAAGCAACCACGGCTATGCATTTTGACCAATTAACTCAAAAGTATTACCAGCCGAGCTCTTAATCAGACCAACCCATTGAAAAATATGAACATCCAAACCAAATTTCTCATTACAAGTAGTTGTGCTGAAGTATGCAAGCATAAAAGTGGGTCAATCACTGATCATCTTTGTTGTATTTGTAAATGTATAAAAATATCACTTTTACCACTAAAAGACAGTAAACTGTAACAAGAGGCCCATGGGCTACATCGCTCACCTGAGCACATTGGCTAGGAAAAAGCACAGATCAGTTCAGTATTGAAAAGTTTACATGTTTGGGGGGAGGGGGGGAGGGGACTGGAATTTTAAATTACCTGAGGATGTTTCAATATCAGTATAACAAATGGCTTTGCTGTTCATAATCATCAGTTTTTTAAAGGTTTTTTTTTCCCTATAAATATTCCTTTGAAAAATTGTGGCCCCTCCATTCTCCTGGGGGTCATCATTTGAACAAACTTGAATCTACACTACCTGAGGATGCTTCCATATCAATATGACTAAACATGGTATTTCTGTTCTTTTCCTGTATCTTCCTCTGTAAAACTTGACTAAACATAGCTTTGCTGTTCTTAAGAAGATTTTTTAAAGATTTTTTTTTTCTATATATTCCTATTTAAAACTTTGATCCACCATTATGGACCCACCTTAACCCCAGGGGTCATCATTTGAACAAACCTGAATCTTCACTATGTAAAGAAATTTCCTATAAGTGTAACTTTTTTGGCTCAGTGGTTCTTGAGAAGAGGATTTTTAAGACATTCAACCAAATTTTCACTATTTCTGAATTATCTCCACTTGAATGTGGATGTGACCCTTCATTTGAACAAACGAATCCCCTTCACCCATGATGCTTTGTGGCAAGTTTGATTGAAATTGGCCCAGTGGTTCTGGAGAAAAAGTTGAAAATGTGAAAAGCTTACAGACAGACAGATGGACTACAGACAAAATGTGATCAGAAAAGCTCACTTGAGCTTTTAGCTCAGGTGAGTTAACAAAAAAAAACTATGTCAAAAAAGACTAAACAATGCATAATATCAACATTCAGTTGGACGGTTTGCTCTTCAAAATAAATAATAACAAAATATAAAAACCAATATACAAAATATTCAGTTTGAAGCAACCATTAAAAGTTGCATTGATAAGCTTATTCAAACATTGATAAATATTTAAGGCATTTCAGCTTAGTGGTAAACAGAGAACATCAGTATTCAACTTAATGTAAATACATGTATACAAAGTCAAATTCTATATTTCTTATCAAATATATCACTGTAACAAAGTCTAAACAACAACTATATGTATATAAACAAAAATAATAAATAGTAAAACCAATATAAATAACAAATACTAAACTGTGTTATCAAATAGACCTAAGTAAACATGGATGGATTAAAGTCATGAAAAAAGGATACTTTGATTTGATTTATAATTACAAAGGGATTGTTCTGAAAACTTATTACACCCTCTCTTACTTTCACTGCATAGAAATAAATAACCATACTAGTGTAACTTGTGTTTACAGAATGATATGTATCCTGGATATCACAGACATGATTTTGACATCTGATTGACAGGTCTAGGCACACAGTAATGTCACATGACACTGCAGGCTTGACTTGTCGGTCTCTTTAACTTGGGAGTAGATTCCCCTGATTTTGGTGGTGACTTGACTGTCTCCGCCGAGCTGATGGTAGTGGTAGCGTGGCGCTTTACTGCAGCCTCCGGTTTCTGAATCTCTTGACGTCTGATGGCTGATCCATGTCTTAAGACAGATCTGGCCTCCTGTGACTTTGTTTTAATCTGCCCTGGAGTCAACCCTTGTGATAAGTCTTTAAGAAGTTGATCACTCATACTTTTATCAAAGAAGCCTAAATGCTGTCTTACATCATCAGCTACTACTAAAGCCTTGTCCACCAGGGATTCTATTTTTTAAAAAAATGAAAAATACACTGTAAGGTGTCGATACAACAAAAATTTGTTTAACTCTTCTGGAAAATAAATGTTACATGCGAAATTCTAAAATTGCAGCATTGTTTATGTATTATCTGAAACATGATTTAAAGTTGGCTTCATTTCTGACAGCAAAATTTTAGATAATTAAGTTGCATCACTACACATATTTACATTATCCAAGAGATAATAGTGCAGGCAAGAGCCTAATTAAGGAATATCTTATGCTGGTCACTCATTCAGTAAACATCTCAACTGCTCCTTTATCTTGGTATTTGTATATTTTTAACTTAAAACTTACGATTAAATTTTTTCTTGACTTTTGCAGAGGAGTCAAATTTCTTCACTAATTTTTCAGAATCCACTTTTCGCAGCCATTCAGCAATGTACTCTGGTCGTTCAGGATTAGAGACCTTGTTTTTCTTAGCAACAGCATCCTTGGCCAGCACTGTAACCTTCATATCTTTGATGTGTTCCTCACACAACCATATTATTTTTCCACTAGACAGGCGACATCTGTGGGGAAAAAACAAAATAACAGGTCCATAAGTCAAATTGCTCCTGTCCCAGAAAAGAAGCTTAAAATATTCAAAATTTTACAACTGATGGACTGTAACAAAAGAAGACAGAAATAGGTCACCTGAGTCACCAAGTTGACCTAAAGAAGAAGTGGATTTGACCAAAACAAATACATTCATGTACCAAAATAACTATAAAAGCCAGTCTTTTCTTTACTACACCAAAACAGCATAGCAACATGCCAAATGGGAAGCATAACAAAAATCTGATTTTAAACTTTCTTTAAAAAATAATTTTTAAAGAGGAGCTCCTTTCACATACCATTTGTGTATTCACTTCTCAAAATCTTCAGCAGCTAGTGTAGTAGTGGTGGTACAACTTGATTTACACAAAATACCTGAAACATTATACAGAGAATTCTCTGTTTTGGATCTCTATGGCTGCCATGACTACTTACCTGGAAAGGCACCCATAAGTCCTCTGTGAGTCCATCTCCATGACCAATTCCCTCAAGTCTTGGTAATCCTTCATAAAGTCTGGCAGAACTGCATCTGCTGACTGAAAGAAGATTTTATACTGGTATAGAATACAAGAGGACCATGGGTCTTGACATTCACCTGTAATGCAGTAGATTTTCATGTACTTTATGTCACATAAACTTCTCTTATAACAACATAACAAGAGGCCCGTGGGCCACAATGTTCACCTGAGTAATTGGGACCTTCTGTTCTTCTTAGAAGATTCATTTCTCTATATATTCCTATGTAAAACTGTAATCACATATTGTGACCCCCAGCCTACCCCAGGGGGTTATTATAAGAACAAGCTTGAATTTACGTTTAACTGAGAATGCTGCCATAAAAATATGACTAACCATGGCTTTGCTGTTCTTGAGAAGTAGATTTTTAAAGTTTTTTCCTATGTAGTTCTTGAGAAAAAGATTTTTAAAATATTTTTCCTATGTATTCCAATGTAAAACTTTGATTGCTCATTGCAGCCCCATCCTAAGCCTGGGGGTCATGATTTGAACAAAACTGAATCTACATTACCTGACAATGATTCCATATAAATATGATTAATCATGGCTTTGCTGTTCCTGGGGAAAAGATTTTTTACAGTTTCTCATATATGTTCCTATGTAAAACTTTGATCCCCCATTCTTTGCCCCATCTACCCCCTGGGGTCATGATTCAAACAAACTTCAATCTACACTAAGTCTACCTGAAAATGGCTCCTATCAATATGACTTATCATGGCTTTGCTGTTCTTGAGAAGACAATTTTTCCTATGTATTCACATGTAAAACATTGATTGCCCATTGTGGCACCACCCTACTAAGAGAGGACATGATTTAAACAAACTTGAATCTATGCTATGGAATGAAACTTTCACATAAGTTTCATCTTTTCTGGCCCAGTGGTTCTTGAGAAGATTTTTAAATGACCACACCAAATTTTCACTATTTCTTAATTAATTATCCTTGAAAGAGGATGCAGCCCTTCATATGAACAAACATGAATTCCATTTAACCAAGGATACTCTGTGCCAAGTTTAATTAAAATTGGGCAGTGGTTCTGGAGAAGAAGAAAAAAATGTGAAAAGTTTACAATAACTACAACAACAATGTCGAAAGACAATGGAAACAATTTCTATCAGAAAAGCTCATTTGATCCTTCAGTTCGGGTGAGCCAAAAAGAAACATTCTTTCCTATTATCAAGCAAACAGAATGACAGCTGATAACCAAAAGAAAAGATTTTTTTTTTAAAAATGTCATTTATTTTCATATGATGAAACCCTGCAGCCAGAACCCATGACCCTGAGGATAAGAGAAACAAGTGTTTAATAGAAAGCCTTCTGTTTATACGCCTGTATGATATCCATGAGGAAAGAAGAGGAGTATAAGAAACAAGAGGCCCAGGGGCCACATTGCTCACCTGAGCACTGTGGCTAGGAAAAGAGGAAAAATCTGTTTAGTATTGAAAAGCTTAAATGCATAAGTGGTCCCAACCTACCCCTAAAAGGGAGTGGGGGGGGGAGGGGGAGGGGGTATGATTTGAACAAAATTAAATCTACACTAACTGAGGATGCTTACATGATTTTTTGACTAACTGTGACTTTTTTCTCTACAAGTTTGAACTTTCATTGTGGCCCCACCCTACCCCTGGAGGTCATGATTTGAACAAACTTGAATCTACACCACCTGAGGATGCTTTCATATAAATATGACCAATCATAGCTTTGCTGTTCTTGAGAAAAAGATTTTTCCTATATATTGCTACGTAAAACTTTGATCGTCCATTGTGGCCCCACCCAACCCCCAGGGGTCATGATTTGAACAAATTTGAATCTACACCACCTGCAGATGCTTCCACGTAAATATTACCAATCATAGCTTTGCTGTTCTTGAGAAGAAGATTTTTGAAGATTTTTCCTATATACTCTTATGTTAATTAAAACTTTAATCTTCCATTGTGGCCCCACCCTACCCCTGTGGTCATGATTTGAACAAACTTGAACCCACATCACCTGAGGATGCTTCCATATAAATATGACCAATCATAGCTTTGCTGTTCTTGAGAAGAAGATTTTTGAAGATTTTTCCTATACAGTCCATTGTGACCCCACCCTACCTCTGGGGGTCATGATTTGAACAAATTTGAATCTACACCATCTGAGGATGCTTCCGTTTAAATATGACCAATCACAGCTTTGCTGTTCTTGAGAAGAAGATTTTTGAAGATTTTTCCTATATATTCCTATGTAAAACTTTGATCTTCCATTGTGGCCCCACCCTACCCCCGGGGGCCATGATTTGAACAAATTTGAATCTACACCACCTGAGGATGCTTCCATATAAATATGACCAATCATAGCTTTGCTGTTCTTGAGAAGAAGATTTTTGAAGATTTTTCCTATATATTCCTATGTAAAACTTTGATCGTCCATTGTGGCCCCACCCTACCCCCGGGGGTCATGATTTGAACAAATTTGAGTCTACACTTCCTGACAATAATTCCATGTGAGTTTCATCTTTCCTGGCCCATTGGTTCTTGAGAAGAAGATTTTTCAATAATGCCATTAATTTTTTGCTATTTCGTAATTATCTCCCCTTGGGGGGGGGGGGGGGGGGGGAGGGGGGGTGGCCCTTCATTTGAACAAACTTGAATCCCCTTTACCCTTTGTGCCAAGTTTGATTGAAATTGGCCCAGTAGTTCTGGAGAAGAAGATGAAAATGTGAAAAGTTTACGACAACGCCAACGACGACAGACAACAGACAAATTTCGATCAGAAAAGCTCACTTGAGCCTTCGGCTCAGGAGAGCTAATAAAAGGCATTTTCATTGCATCTCATCTAAGTTCTACACTTATAGGTCTGAACCCATGATCCTGAAATATGAAAAACTCAATATTTTTAAAGGGTTCATGCTCCTTATATTTATGCATTCAGATTGTCTGCTGGTTATGTAGGATTGAGAAAGAAATCATTTTTGGGGTAGTACATGTACTTATTTGCTAATCAACTATACAACAAGATGTGTTTGTGAAACACTGATGCCCCCTTATGGCAGCTCAAGTCAAACTCCAAGGTCAAGAGATTAAAAATGTTGGTACCCAAAGAAAGGTCTTGTCACAAAGAATACACCTGTGAAATATGAAAGCTCTTGCAGCAACCATTCAGAAATTATGGTCAAGGTTAAAGTTTTTCAAAAGTAGGTCAATCTCCAGGGTGAACATCAAATTGGTGCTTAAGAAAAAGGTCTTGTCACAAAGAATACACCTGTAAAATATGAAAGCCCTAGCACCAAGGGTTCAAAAGTAATGGCCGAGTTTTTCAAATGTAGGTCAAACTTCAAGGCTAAAACTGTGGTACCCCAAAGAAGGTCTTGTAACAAGGTATATACCTTTTAAATATGAAAGCCCCAATTCAAAACATTCAGATCTAATGGCCAAGGTTAAAGTTTTTCAAAAAATAGGTAAAACTCCAAGGTAAAAAATAATGTACCCATGGAAAGGTCTTATCATAAGGAATAAACATTTGAAGTTCTAAAGCCCTAGAACCAACCACTCAAAAGTTATGGCCAAGGTTATAGTTTTGCAAAAGTGGGTCAAACTCCAAGGTCAAGTCAAAAGGTTAATAATTGTTGGTACAAAAAGAAAGGTCTTGTCACAAGGAATAAACATGTGAAATATGAAAGCCCTAGCTCCAACCAATCAAAAGTTATGGGCAAGGTTAAAATTTTTGCAGACAGACAGACAGACAGATGGAGAGACAGATGGACAGAGCAAAAAATATATGCCCCAGAATCTTAGATTATGGGGGCAAATAATTAAAAATCAAAATTTAAGCTTTTAACTCCTTTTTAAGAAAAATAATGAATACAGGATAACTAACTACATGTACTTATAAAACAGCTGTATTAAATTTTTTTTCCAAAACCTGACAGCAAAGTTTGACAAGGAACCAACCTCAAACAGCCATTTCATGTAGTTCTGACCATCCTCATCTGTCATACAGTTCATTACATAGTTCTTGCTGTGCTTCATTATGGCTGTGATACGAGACAAGTAAGGGGCATATTTCTTTAAGTATTCTGTCCCAAAATCTTCTGGAAGCATCATGGCTTCATCTACACTATGCCAGCCCTGACAACAAAAGAAACAAATTCAATAAGTGTTACCTACTGAAAGTTTCCCTAAAGTTCAGAAAATCTTTCAACATTACAATCCCTAGTACCTGGTCACATTCACACAGGATGTTGATGGAGAACCTACGGGAGACAAACCCTGAATTTATGACCTCTGTTTCTCCTTTCTCCAGCTGGTTCTCTTCTTTATTCTCAAATTTTTCTTCTAAAATTTGTCCATAAACAAGTAAGTATAAACTTTCATCTTTTTTATTTAAATAATTAATGCTGGATCAATAGATTAATTTAACTAGTACAAATGCTAAACATATTTGAATCGAGTAGAGAATGCAATTTATAATTTTCCAACATATGTTTCTGTTTCAGGAACAGTAAAATTTTAATGCATAAAAAAAGTCATTTTGGTTCATTATAATATTGACAGAGATTTATCTAGAGTCTGGATGTTTATATTCTTTATACCTATTGACAGAGATTTATCTAGAGTCTGGGGGTTTTCCTCCACTGGTACAATGTCAGCTACAAACAGACGAGGGTATGGTTCCACATCATGATTTGAGGCATATGTTGTTATCTGTCTTAGAAACTTTCTCTGAGCTAGCTCATAAAGCTCCTGTAAAAGAATATGAGAACAATACCAAGTGATATATTCATTTCTTAATGTTCTTCTCTTATATGTGCCATAAACTGTTTTTATTTATTTGAACTTTGGACCTGAATGTTGTTCCTGGACCAGGTTCTTGCTTATGCACTTCTTTCATGAACTTTAACCTGGGACACTAACAGTGACTGCAATTACTGTGGTCCTCAAAATTAAAGGATATTGTGACAAAATTTCATAAATATACTCAGCTGAAGTTTGATTATCTATAAATAATGAATGACCTTGAACTGTTTGTCTTTGTCCAAGTCTGATGATCCCTCCTTCTTCTTCTCCTTCTCCTTGTTGTCTTGGTTACTGGAGGCCAGCATCTCCTCCACCAGTTGTAGAAGTTTGGGATGTGCCTCATCACTCTCCAACTGGAAACTTACGACGGGATAGTTCACAGACAGCATGGCTACCTAGAACAGAATAGACAGATGAGACTCACAAAGGGATAGTTCAAAGAAAGCAGGATTCCTGCAGAATAGAGAGAGGAAATCCACAATGGGATAGTTCACAGACAGCAAGCTACCCTGCAGAATAGAGGGAGGAAATCCACAATGGGATAGTTCACAGACAGCAAGCTACCCTGCAGAATAGAGAGAGGAAATCCACAATGGGATAGTTCACAGACAGCATGGTTACCTGTAGAACTCACAACAGTATAGTTCACAGACAGCTTAACAAACAGAATAAACAGAGGAAACTCAAAACAAGATAGTTCACAGATACATGTAGTATGACCACCTACAGCAAGCTAAACAGAGGAATTCACAACAGGATAGTTCACAGACAACATGGCTACCAACAGAATAGATAGGGAAAACCCTTAACAGGATAGTTCACAGACAACATGGCTACCAACAGAATAGATAGGGAAAACCCTTAACAGGATAGTTCACAGACAACATGGCTACCAACAGAATAGATAGGGAAAACCCTTAACAGGATAGTTCACAGACAACATGGCTACCAACAGAATAGATAGGGAAAACCCTTAACAGGATAATTCACAGACAACATGGCTACCAACAGAATAGATAGGGAAAACCCTTAACAGGATAGTTCACAGACAACATGGCTACCAACAGAATAGATAGGGGAAACCCTTAACAGGATAGCTTACAGACAACATGGCTATCTACAACTGGATCTAAAGAAGAAATAGTTCATAGACAGCATGATCTCCTGCAGAATTGACAGAAAGAACTTTTTATAATGGATACTGGATTGTCAATAATAAGTTGTGAATAACATACAAACATTTAACATAGATATTCAGTTGTGATTGATATTTCTGTCAATGACTCCATCACTACAGTTATGGGAAGAGAAGTGATTCAGCAAGAAGCTGTTTATTTCTTAAGGTCCATAATCCCTCTAGTCAATCATGTAAAATGTTTTTTTAAAAGATAGAGTTTATAAGTAAAATGCGAACAATTTTAGCATAGTTTTTGGTCAAAATTGGACAAAAAATTCATTTCACCTTGACAAATTTATAAAGGAATAATAAACAAACATGTGTCATTAAGATTATCTCTCTTATCAGAGTATCAATGAACCTTAATTTCCACTTGAAAGTAAATATGTGCTATGTTCCCATCCTAACAATGTCAGGGGTCCTAAGTCAACACGTCCCGTTGGACCCGACTCATTTCGTTCGATGTCTTGCGGGCTGACTGCAGTGACATCTTTCAGGCAGATTACAAATCTGATTGTTTTTCTCATCTCTCAATTAATCACATTAAGCCTTTCACTGTTAAATAATGCATAATATTTTAGGTGTCAACTGATTCCTTTCTGTTTACATTATCTGTTTACTTCAATTTGATTAATGCTTCTCAATGAGAAGCAAACCCAAAGATATCGAATGAAATTTGTCAGGGGTCCCTTGGCAACAAGTTGACTCAGGACCCATGACGTTGTGAGGATGCTATGTTCCATGAAAACATGAAACCATTTAAACCAGTGATCAACTATTGCATGCAAGATTTGTTTCAATATCAAAATCTAGCTTTCATGCTATTTAAATTATAGTCTCTGGAACCTCTCTGGCATATTGATCACAATTTCGTTAAACTGACATAGTCAATTCACATCATTCATTTAAAAAAAAAAAAAAACAAACAAACATCATTATTACATTTCTTCAAACAATAACTTTAACAAAAAGAGCGTCTATTTTCTTAATTCTTTTGATGTTTTTTCAGAAGCAATAAATCACAGCAAATTCTTGTTCATTACCATAATTAACTTACTGATATTTCTGTCACATTGTTAAAATTTAATAACTATGTCAGTTTTTGATTAATCTTTTTCAGAGAAATAATAAATCAATCAATTTGAAACAAAACAAGAATCCTGTGAAGCTTAACAGTCACTTGAGAATCAAAATTGAATATCTTTACATGCTTTTTTAAGTATAAGCTGTATGTATGTCATGAACATTCTTTTATGTAATATTAGCCCTACTCTGGGATTTGAACCTCTGTCCTTAGGATATATCACAACTAAGGTAATGTATCATATAATATAACAGCCTGTCTGCTATATGTAAACAGGAACACCAATTAGTTAAAAAAACATATTTTCATGCCATTAAAAATTGTTTTCTTTATAATTCTATCCTGACCAAGAGGCCTATGGGCCACAATGCTCACCAGAGTCATTTTGGCCCTGTTGTTCTTCATAAGCAAAAAATAAAAATGATTCCATATTGTGGACCATAATCTAATCCTATGAGAGCTATGATTTAATCTAAGATTTTGCTATTGAGAAAAAGATTTTTTATAGATTTTTCCTATATATATCTAGGTTAAACTTTGATCCCCCATTGTGGTCTCACACTACCCTTGGGGGTCATGTTTTGAACAAACTTGAATCTACAGTACCTGATGATGCTTCAACACAAATATGACTGATAATGCTTTTCTTGTTCTTGAGAAGATTTTATTGTTTTTTCCCCTTTTATTCCAATGTTAAACTTTGAACCCCCATTGTGGCCCCACCCTACAGAGAGGGGGGGGGGGGGTGTCATGAATTGAACAAAATTGAATCTACACTATGTAATAAAGCTTTCACATAAGTTTCAACTTTTCTGACCCATTGGTTCTTGAGAAGATTGTTTTTAAAAGTTTTTTCCCTATATATCCCTGTGTAAAACTTTGATTGCCTAATTTGGCCCCACCCTATCCCAGGGGGTCATGATTTAAACAAACTTAAAATCTACATTTTGTAATAAACCTTTCACATAAGTTTCATCTTTTCTGGCCCAGTCGTTCTTAAGAAGGGGATTTTTGAAAGATGCCATTAAATTTTCACTAATTCTTGATTACTGTAAACCAACTATTATTTGCATCATCTTTTACTTGGGATTCTTCAGTTTGAAATCAATCCGCAACAATTAATTTTCATGACTGAGGAAATATTCTCTACAAAAACAAAGCAAATGAATGGTTCACAGCGATTAATATTTGTGAGTTAAAGAAGGTTGTGAAACTCGCGGATATTTCAAACATGCAAATAAAAGTTGGTTTTCAGTATCTCCACTTGAAAGAGGGAATGACTTCATTTGAACAAATTCAAATCCCTTTTACCCAAGGATGCTTTGCGGGAGGTTTTGTTGAAACTGGAGCAGTTCTTGAAAAGAAGTCAAAAAAGTAAAAAATTTAGGGATGGACAGACAAACAAAATCAAATCAGAAAAGCTCAGTTGAGCTTTCAGCTCATTTATGCTTAAAAAGTATATGTTTACAGTATGTGCAAAAATATTTCCATCTCAGAATTACTTAGCTGGGATAGGGAAAAAGTATAAGATTAAACAAGTGAAATTTATACCAAGGTCACTGACCAGACATATCATCATTTCTTAAGTAGCTCTAACACTAAACACTCTGAGGAGTAAATTATCATGGTGACTTTACTTCTATAGATACACTAACAGTCCAATTGTAGTACAGGACAGACCTCACTCCGTCTCCACTTGTGTCCAGTGCCTACAACACAGATGATGATAGGCAGATTCAGGACAGTGCAGGCGTACCGGAACTCTTTACAGCAGCTTGGTGACTCTACGTACTCATCAGAAACACATGCTACCACCACACGACTCTCCAGTAGACCTTTGGCTATCTCATCAAACAACCCATTCTGTGGTAATAAAACACAGAGGCTAACCTTTACACAGAAAATATCGATTTATTTGATATTTTCATGAGTGCAAAGCATGAGTGAAAATATATATACAATAAAAAAAATCTTGTCTAACATCATAAACAAGTAGTTGTGAAATGTCATAGCTAAGCAATTAAGAGATTGAACATTGTAAACACTGATATTAACAATTTGGAGAATTTGGGCAGTTTTAGTCTGTGTCAGGATGCTTTCTTTATGCTCGCTACAACAGGGATTTTTTTTTATTCATAACACTCTTCATGAAGGGAATGAAAATCAAAAGTTTTGCTGCACTTTTAATTTGTTAAATTAAAGATGGGTTCTGCCCAGAGGATGATTCTATGATCAAATTGACGGGTTCTCTCTTCTGGTTATAGCGCACCCTATTGGGGGTTAGCTAGCGCCACCTATTTACGTCATTGTTATCCAATCATATTCCTTGCTTTCTTATTTCAAATTCGACATCTGTGCCATCCAATCAAATTACGATAATCTCCTATTTCAACCCATGTTTTGTCCAGTTAGCGTCACTTTCTCATAAAATCCTCTGAGGCAGAATCCACGTTGTTTTATTCTATAAATTAAATTTTGTGTGTGTGTACGTGTGTGTGATGTTATGGTATTTATTTTATAATATAAATTGATAAGAAAAAATGTGTAGTAATATTAGTTTAGATTCTACCATGATTTCTCAAGATTGTCGAAAATTACCCATGATTGCTTGGATGATACTTTTATGTTTACTTTGTAACATTGCATAATAAATCATGGTTTTGCCCAAACTGTGTCTTATCTGATTACAAGAGGAAATTAACAAACAACAGCTTCACTTAATTATCATTAAAACACAGTCAAGACAAGAAATATCTTACCATTCCAATCCTTTCCACATCAATCCAACACTTGATGAAGTTTTCTTCCAGGTAGGATTTGATTTGCCTGGGATCTCCAAATCCTAATGCAGCTGGTCCAGATCTTAAAAGGGAGATGTTTATATAAGTGATCATTTCATTTATACACAACATGATGCATTTTAGAATAAGAAAGGGTATATACAAGGGAAAGCTTTGGGAAAGTCAGGCATTCAGAAGGTACCTAAAGAAGTTGGATGATGAATCAGCAATAAAGAAGTTTATAAAGGGAAAGGGTTGGGAATATGCAAATATACTCAGAAATGTATAGCTATTTCTCACATTCTTTCAGCAAGAATACAACATTCCACATTAATATTGTTAAAGGAAAATATCAGAGCACCACAATAAATCTGTTAAATGCTTTACAGTGGTATATCAGTGATAGACATTAACTTTGAGATTCACTTGCCCAAAGGGCAAGTGATCTCAAACTTTGACTTGTCCAAATGCAAAACTTGGGTTTTCCAGAATTAAGAAGGAAGAATATTATTTATTACTGTAAATTGATAAGAAAAAATGTGATCAAATACAGTACTGTCAACTTGACAAGTTGAGCTACATGAAAAAAAAATTGATGCTGCGTTTGTACATAAATGTGTATCCCTGTTCTTGTCAATTTAATATGTTTTAAACACACACTGCCATGCAGCATTAACCCTCCATTTTCTTTTAATAAACCTCATATTTTTAAAAATTATTTTCAGTAGGATCCTCTTGTGAATCGTGATTTTAAGAGATAACTGTGAAGCAACGGTAAAGGAAGATAGTTGCTACAAAACATACATATCTTGATCGGGATACATCGTGTTACTTATATTCTGTGAGTGAATAAATAATCTTATTTCCTAATAAGAAGTTAACAAAGTTGTTAGATGTAGAGCGTATTAACCATGAAAGAAAACAGAATAATGAACCCAATTTTTAAATGGTCGGCATAATCTAGAAACTCTACCAAGGATTTCTGAATGCAAATCAATGTTAGTCAGGTATCTGGTAGAAATCAAGTGTTCAATTTATTGTTTTTACATATAAATTAATGTAAACTAAATAAGTACGTTTCTATGAGAAAAAGTCACTTGCCCGATCGGACAAGTACGTTGACAGTTTCATTTGCCCGAACTGAGAATTTACTTGTCCCGGACAATCGGACAACTGTTAATGTCGATCCCTGTATATCAGGATAATTAATCCTCAGCTGCAGTATTGCTTACCTGGTACCCAATGCCACGGCTTGTGCTGAGTTCTTCCAGCAGTAACTGATGAAACATTCGGGGCTCTCTCTGTCCTTGACCTTACCAGTTAAGTTCATCAACTCCTCCAACTTCCCGAGGAGCTCCTGGAACTTACTATTGTAGTTGTGCTTCTTAGAATTTATCATGTTGACAAAAGACTACAAAATAAAACATAATACCATTGACATCTGAAGGTATAGAAAGAGATCAAGAAAACCTACAGTGTGTCTGGAAGCTGTTTAAGATGCACTTTGTTTTTAGACTCAAGCATATACACTGTACAGTAACCATAAAGCAAAACAGTACAGTCTTTAAGATTCTTTTCTAGTCAGTTTAAAGTTCACTCTCTCATGAAATACCAAAATAAGCATACATAGAGTAGTTTTCTTTACGTATTATGCAATTAAGTCAAGAAGAGCATTCAGAGGAATAGCCCTCCTATGATTTAATTTCTTTAAATGCCTGACAACCACCAGTATAAGAAAAATAATTATTATTAAAATCTACATGTAAGATTAAATTTTCCTTCAGAGTTATGACTTGTACATGTTGTACAGTATGTTATACAAGAGGCCCATGGGCCACATTGCTCACCTGAGCACATTGGCTAGGAAAAAAAGCAAAAATCAGTACAGTATTGAAAAGTTTACATGGGAAAGGGGGGTGGGGGCTTGAAGTTTAAACTACCTGGTGATGCTTCCATATCAATAAAACAAATGGCTTTGCTGTTTTTGAGCAAAAGATTTTTTCCTATATATTCAATTTGTAAAAATTTGATCCCTTATTGTGGCCCCACCCTACCCCTGAGGGTCCTCATTTAAATCTACACTACCTGATGATACCTCCATATCAATATGACTAATCATGGCTTTTCTGTTCTTGAGAAAAAGATTTTTTCCTATACATTCCTATGTAAAACTTTGATCCCCCATTGTGACCCCACCCTACCACCGGGGATCATAATTTGAACAAACTTGAATCTACACTACTTGCTCCATATCAATATGACTAATCATGGCTTTTCTGTTCTTGAGAAAAAGATTTTTTCCTATATATTCCTATGTAAAACTTTGATCCCCCATTGTGACCCCACCCTACCACCGGGGATCATAATTTGAACAAACTTGAATCTACACTACCTGAGGATGCTTCCATATAAATATGATCAAACATGGCTTTGCTGTTCTTGTGAAGAAGAGTTTTAAAGAATTTTCCTATGTATTCCTTCGTTTAACTTTGATCACTCATTCTGGCCCCATTCGGGGGGGGGGGGGGGGGGGGGGGGGGTCATTATTTGATCAAACTTGAATCTTCACTACCTGAGGATGCTTCCATATATATATGGCCAATCATGGCTTTGCTGTTCTTCAGAAGATTTTAATTTTAAAGATATTTTCCTATATATTTCTATGTAAAACTTTGATCCCCCATTGTGGCCCCACCCTTCCCCCGGGGGTCATGATTTGAACAAACTTGAATCTACACTACCTGAGGATGCTTACATATAAATGTGACAAATCATGGCTTTGCTGTTCTTGAGAAGAAGAGTTTTAAAGAATTTTCCTATGCATTCCTAGTTTCCTACGTAAAACTTTAATTGCCCATTGTAGCCCCACCCTACCCCCCGGGGTCTTGATTTAAACAAACTTGAATCTACACCACCTGAGGATGTTTCCACATAAGTTTCATATTTCCTGGCCCAGTCGTTCTTGAGAAGAAGATTTTTAAATGATGTCATTATTTTTTTACTAATTCTTATTATCTCTCCTTAAAATAGTGCATGGCCCTTCATTTGAATAAACTTGAATCCCCTTCACCCAAGGATACTTTGTGGCAAGTTTGGCTGAAATTGGCCCAATGGTTCTTGAGAAAAAGTCAAAAATGTGAAAAGTTTACAGACAGACAGACGGACGCCGGACAAAATGTGATCAGAAAAGCTTGAGCCTTTGGCTCAGGTGAGCTAATAAGTTACCACATCAGGAAGGAGCAGCCCCAGATTAGTTTTCCTCCAGGTGTAGTTATCCTCTCCCACTACAATCACCACCATGGGCTTCCCAAGGGTAAGCTTGGCATACTTAAAAATGTCTGTACAGGATCTGTCATTTGCATAGTTAGTGGACACAAAAACAACAAAGATGGTGGAGTCCATAAGAGCCCGGGCCATCAAATCCGTGGAATACTGATTGCTCTCCTCTGGAAACCAACTGAAATGAAACAAACTATTCAATACCCACCATGTTTTATAATAATATTCATCATATACAATCTGGTTCCACAACAAAGAAATGCCATATATATTTTTTGAAGTCTAAATATGTGTAATGTAAAACTATCAACAGAGATTTCAGAACACCTCCCCTTTCCCCTTCTGATTTTAGAAAATTATATTTGAAAATTGTTTGAAAATAATTTATCGACTTTTCTAAGAAATTGTACAAGAAATTTCTCACCAAGTGTATCCGGCATTCTTCAAGTCTTGGTGAACCTGAGCAGGGTGAATAACATTTTTGTCATCAGCAGGGGCATCTGCCACACAGTAGGAGAGAAACAGGTCTGTAAGTAGAATAGCCAATCATAGTAAGTTTTATACTCCCAGAACTGAAAAAAAACAGCCAATCATATTAGGATCTATGCTTTCAAAACCATGCTGCCAATCATATGAGGTTTTATACTCCCAAAACTTATTTAAATAAACCAATACTATCAAGTTTTACTATCCATAATTTTGATTTCCATTTTAAAACATAGGTAATCAGAGATTACAGAGCTCACCTCAACGAATGTTGTCTTTAAGTAAGACAAAGTCCCACACTAAACTAATAATCTAGTAGTGTGCATCCCTAGATGCAACATTTATGCAATTTTGATCTGATAGGGCTTGCAGTTACTTGGGAATAGACTTATCTGAAAACTTAAAACTAGTCACTCATCCAGAAAATGTAAGTCAAATCCAGCATCCGAAGCAAGTTTGTGATTGTTCGTCCCTTGATGCATCATCCATGCAAGTTTGGTTCAGATAGGCCTTATAGTTACTTGGAAATGAGATCTGCTCCAAAAACTTTAACCTGGTTACTCATCTGGAAAATGTAGGTCAGATCCAGCATCCGAAGCAAGTCCAGTAGTGTGCATCTTTAGATGTATCATCCATGCAAGTTTGGTCAATATAGGGCTTATAGTTACTTGGAAATAAGATCTACTCCAAAAACTTTAATCTAGTCACTCATCTGGAAAATGTAGGTCAGATCCAGCATCCGAAGCAAGTTCAGTAGTGTGCATCCTTAGATGTATCATCCATGCAAGTTTGGTCAATATAGGGCTTATAGTTACTTGGAAATGAGACCTGCTCCAAAAACTTTAACCTGCTCCCAAAACTTTAACCTGCTCCAAAAACATTAACCTGGTCATTCTTTAGCTGAAATTGCAGCATCTGAAACCTTGACTGGTACAATGAAACATTAGAAGCATCCTCCATGCATCTCTGACTAATATAGGCCATAGAAGTACTTGAAAAGAAAACTGCTCCAAAAACCTTAACCTGGGACACCGATGCCGAGGGTATTACATAAGCTCCCCCAACTTTGTTGAGGTGAGCTAAAAACCAAAAATAAATCACAGAAATTACAAAGGATTATTTTTTTTAAAATTTCTTTTAAGAGTAATTAGGTTCATTAAGTTGGGGCCTACATTGGCCCTGTAAATTTAATGCATTTAATATCATTTGGACCTATGCTAGTACATTAAGTCTCTAGTTTATACTTATAAGTAATGGAAACATTAAGTGTCTAGTTAACACCTATAGGCATTGGAAGCATTAAGTCTCTACTTTATACTTACAGGTAATGGAAGCATTATAAGTCTCTAGTTTATACCTATAGGCAATGGAAGCATTAATTCTACTTTATACTTATGTTTGAAATGGGACATACTTATAGGCAATGGAAGCATTAAGTCTACTTTATACTTATGTTTGAAATGGGACATACTTATAGGTAATGGAAGCATTAATTCTACTTTATACTTATGTATGAAATGGGACATACTTATAGGTAATGGAAGCATTAAGTATACTTTATACCTATGTTTGAAATGGGACATACTTATAGGTAATGGAAGCATTAAGTATACTTTATACTTATGTATGAAATGGGACATACTTATAGGTAATGGAAGCATTAAGTCTACTTTATACTTATGTATGAAATGGGACATACTTATAGGTAATGGAAGCATTAAGTATACTTTATACCTATGTTTGAAATGGGACATATTTATAGGTAATGGAAGCATTAAGTCTACTTTATACTTATGTATGAAATGGGACATACTTATAGGTAATGGAAGCATTAAGTCTACTTTATACCTATGTATGAAATGGGACATACTTATAGGTAATGGAAGCATTAAGTATACTTTATACCTATGTTTGAAATGGGACATACTTATAGGTAATGGAAGCATTAAGTCTACTTTATATTTATGTATGAAATGGGACATACTTATAGGTAATGGAAGCATTAAGTCTACTTTATACTTATGTATGAAATGGGACATACTTATAGGTAATGGAAGCTTTAAGTCTACTTTATACTTATGTATGAAATGGGACATACTTATAGGTAATGGAAGCATTATCTCTACTTTTTACTTATGTTTGAAATGGGACATACTTATAGGTAATGGAAGCATTAAGTATACTTTATACTTATGTATGAAATGGGACATACTTATAGGTAATGGAAGCATTAAGTCTACTTTATACCTATGTTTGAAATGGGACATACTTATAGGTAATGGAAGCATTAAGTCTACTTTATACTTATGTATGAAATGGGACATACTTATAGGTAATGGAAGCATTAAGTCTACTTTATACTTATGTATGAAATGGGACATACTTATAGGTAATGGAAGCATTAAGTCTACTTTATACTTATGTATGAAATGGGACATACTTATAGGTAATGGAAGTATAATTCTAATATATACTTATGTTTGAAATGGGACATAAGGTGACAATAGATAAGGTCTATAAGGAGGACCATATTGTGTATAAAGTGAACCTAGTTCTGCAAAAACAAATAATAAAGAAAATTTATTTTGTGTTTAAAGGCCATCAGTATAAAGTAACTGATTAGATGCAATTTATCCATTCTCATTTGATCCAGGAAAGGCTTATATATAATTACACAGAAAGTGCAGGACTTGCACCAAAAACAAGAACCTGAGATGCAGGTGGTGAAGCCAGCACTGGGGGTATGTCTCATCAGAAGCTAAAGTGAGCTAAAAATCCCAAGCTACTAACTATTGAACCCTTTTCTATGTACAAGATATTATAAAAGTCTTCCTGGATGTAGGATCAATATATAATTTTAGTTTCACAGGTGTGTATGCCAGTCGTGATAATTATAATTAAATATACCCAGCAAAACACATAAAGTAGAACTCAACCCTACACAACCAAGAATTCTTTTATTTAAATGTCCATGTACCCAACATGGATTAAGTATAGCGAGTCATTATTTATAAGCAGTGACTGGATCAATACGACCTAGGTAACTGTGCTAAAAATAGAACTGATCTCAGGGACCAAGAATATAGGTAAGTGGGAAACCTCAAGAAAGGGGGGTCAGTTTGACCGGGGGTAGATGTGTTATAATTAGTACACATGTACCTGTTTTCATACAGATAATATTTGGTGTTATTCAAACACAATGATACAGAATTAACATAAAACTTCATTTACCTTGTTTGTATACAGTAATTTAATTACATGTATTGCACTTATGTATAAATATTGCGAGAACTATAGCTATTGATCAGAATTTACTTGAATTCATAATAATAATAAACTGTAATCCCTCTCAAATAAAATTGTCATAACTAGGTTAATCATATGATTTACAATGAACTGCTATCTAAAAAAATTTACCAAAAAATGAAACATATAAACCAGTTATAAATGTTAAACATCATTGTTTACAAAAGAATGAACTGCCATATATCGAAATAACCAACATTGTCAAGCAGCTATACCCAGTATATCTTAAAGTTATTGGAATTCATTTTTGTATCTTAAATGTTCTTATACATTTAAAGAAAGCTTGAATAAATATATATACAACTTTTAATCTGCAAATTAATAAACGCTGAGAGTGTATATATTAATTTTCAAGACTGTATACATTAGTGTTATAAATCCAGTCTTCATTAAAATATCAGTAGCTTTTGATTGATATACATGTATATATCAACAATGAATTGCTGATATTATAAGTAATCAGTACCTACACTGCCATGTTAAACAACATGAAATGGGTTTGGATAACTAAAGTAAATATTTTCCCTTATAAGCACTTAATGCAATTAGAAATACATGTAAAAACAATTTGTATGAACATTTATTGATTAATTCTATTTATCAAGAAAAGTGAAAATGTTTCAAAACTGTGATGAAGGAAATGGGAACAGAAAAGCAAGTACATGTATTTACTGTTTAGTATTTATTCCTGTACTTCAAAAAACATGAAAATATGATTCCCTGCTTTAAAAGATTACCTGTCATAGGTGACCATCTTAGAATTACCCTTGATAGGTCATTAAACACAGGTTTGACTGTATGTTACATTGACTGTAAGTGAAAACTAGTTTAAGATTATGTGAAGAAATGTACTGTGATTACACATAACTCAGGGTAAGAACTGCTTTTAATTGACACTGTTACAGGTTTGAATCCTGTAGGTTTTATGCATTGATTTCTTTTCCTTGTTTTGAAAATTAATTACTTGCTATTACATTCTTGTAATTAATTTTCAAAACAAGGAAAAGAAACTTTTGAGCTTTCTCTTACAACTACTCATGTTAAGGTTCATTACTCCTCTGTTCACTCATATAAAATCTCTCCTTCATGCTAGCCTTATGATTATCCTAAAGAAACCTAATTTATGATTAAAATGCACACTATTTCAGCATACCTTTAGGACAAAATTTGACCAAAATAACCTTTTGACAATTTTATAAAAGAATTAGTAATGGTCATTTATCAAAGTCAGAGTTATCCCTCTTATCAGAGGATCAGTGAACCTTAAATCATGCAACCTTCAATTCTTTTTTGCTTAAGAAGAAATCTATAAATGCATTATTTCTTTCAAACCTTTTGTTTACCAGGAGAGTAACACTTTATTATTAAACAAGTACCTTATTCATTTCAGTTTTAGAATCAAGATTTCCCCTACACAGAAACATTCATTCTGATCAACAATGGACTGTCCCTGTAATGGCAGAATTGAGAGTCACAAATTATGCCAAGAGTATAAGAAGATAGCCCCACCAAAAAAGCCTCGGGGTGAGGTCTTCGCTCCGGACGGGGTAGTCATCAAAGGAGATATACCATGTGACTTGTGTGACATTTACGAGAATGTGAACCATTACTGTACAGAATGTAACCAGAACTTGTGTAACTGGTGCAATCATCTACATCTAAGGAGTAAGGCAAGCTTCAAGCACCACTCAATCAATATCCAGCTTTGGGAAAAACATAGGGAAGTCATGCGATGTCCACATCACAAAGACTGGTACCAGAATATCTACTGCACCTACTGCCACAAGCTTGTGTGTGGACAATGCAGCAGGACCTCCAACATGAATGACCCAAGACCTTGCTTTTTCAGCACTAAGAGAGAAGAGATGCAGCATCGAGTGAAACTGTATAAACAAGGAAAGATAACTCTCCAGGGCATGACCCTTGAGGAACATAAAATGTTCCGTGAATGTCTAATGGAGGAAAGAAACAGTCAGATTGAGATGGTGGACCAACTGCAGGAGAAAATGATGACAGAGATTCAGGAGACTGGTACTCTTATTCACGAGTACAAGGAGAGGTTTGAAGCTTGGTACCAACAAATCTGTGAAGACTTCGTGGCTAAAATTCAAAAGTATAAAAAGAAAGCTGCCAACCTTAAGGGCAGGGAGCTTATACGACTCTATAAATATGCACAAAATGACATAAATAAGCCAAGAGAGAATGTTCCCCCTGTTTATAATATACCTCCCCCAAAATTTATCCCTGGGCGACCCGGATCAGGGCCTGTTGAGGAGCAGTTTGGGAAAATTGAGTATGATGACCTTCATTTACAATGGAAGAAGCACATCATGTTGCATAACTTTCTGTGTACAGATTAATTTTTTTGATAAAGAAAATATTTTATGCTAATTTAATTAATGAAGTATAATACAATGTGAACTGATGAAAAACTTACCATGGAATCATTTTAATTTGTGGGCGTCAATGTTCTTGAACACACAAAATTTTACATAATTTTGTCAGTAACTCATATATATAAAGAGGATTCAATGAACCATGTTGATAAAATTGTGGCTCATGGTAACATAAATTCATGGGTAAGGGTGACCCACAAAATCCACAAACATTGGTTCCCCACAAACAATGATGATTCCACAGTATGTATACCTATTAAATAGAACTCAGACAGTAGCTGTCTGTACTTGTAATCAATGATTGTGTAATACTTATGACAAACCATTACATTATGTGTTATAATATACATTTTAAAATTTTACTTTATAGATGTAAACTGTAGGCTTTAAGGACTTTCCCATAATAGTAAATCATGACAAATGAAAACCCTGTTTATACAGACCTATTTTCATATTGCGACGTAGATCTTGCAAGCCACTGACCGCTTTCTGTATGTGAACATCAAAATCATTGTTACTGGTTGGAGGCATCACAGCTGAAACAGTTGATTTATAATCACTGGGTTTTGTTCACTTCAGTATTCTAATAAATACTACATTGAGTGTATTTTTAGTTGTCCATTTCTCAAGAATTATTACTTTATATAACAAAGAGTATTTATAATAGATTCTACAAAATGATTAAACATTGTTTTAATTTAATTGAACATATGGAATGATTCAAAAGTTTATCGACTGATATATTTAAAACAGATATTACATTTTCCTCTAAAACCTTTCTGAATCTTAGGCATTCTTATCATTGCACATAGTTACAGTTTGCATAGAATTTGTCAATCTTGATGTAAAGGGTAATGAAAATAAAAGTTGGTGTACTCACATTGCAAGTCGACCACAGAAATGGTGTGGAAGTAGGCCATACACTGTAGGAAAGGGGCCTTAAGTTCAATGGCTCTACGAATGGTGGAAGCCAAGAACATATGGGGGTCCTTGGCCGAGTGTTTCAGACAATCGGGGCACGGGATCGTAAAATCATACCGAACTCCTTGGTACGCCTCCAGAATCAAACTCTCAAACACCTCGTGGATGTGGAATAAGACGATTTCTGGCATCTTTCCCTGGACTCGGACAACCATCTCTGTGTCTCTATACAAATAAACATACATTAAATATTAATCAAGATATTCCATGCTCAACACGAATTTACAAAAATTCTGCATGATTTCTCAAGAAACACTCCCCGAGAGAGTAGCAAGAATGAAAACAGTGTATAGGATCAACTCACTTGGTTTGCTGTAGAATGGCAATTTGTCCATCTTTTTTCAGGTATGACCCCTTTTTCCAGATAATGTAATAGTCAGAGTATTCCTGCAGTCTCACCTGAAACATGATACCAGCTACAGAAGTCCAATGTCCCTCCTTTATTTGTATTATAAACCCTCTTTGTGCATGTTGTTTTTCAAAACGTATATGCAATACACATTTTTGCACAAAAAATATGACATTCTTTAACTTAGAAGCATCAGAATCTGGGTGCAGGCTATTGAAGAGCTAAATGCTGATGAAAATTCTCTCTACAACTTACTGTAAAAGTGGAAAGTTTGACAATGTGGAAACATTGATGAAATTGACGAATTTCTAATAATCGTCAAAGTTTCCACTCGTCAACTTTTACATTCCTGTTCAAGAGCACTGTAGATCGTCAAAGTTTCCACTAGCTATTTTTATGATATACTGAAATCATCAAACATTCAACCCTTCAATATAACCACTTCTACAGTTATATTTACTTAATCTAATTTATTATTGACAATATGTCCCCCCTTTAAGGCCCATTTTAGGCCTTATACTTTCCCTGAAAGCAAGGCTTTATATTACTTAGCTACTTTTGAAATACCATATAAGTAGAATATTTAGCAAGACACAAATTTAGAGATTTATAAAAAAAAATGGTATATATTTTTACCGAGAAGTAATTTTAGTGATTTTCTAATGTCAAGAAAGATATAACAACCAATTTGGAATAACTTGTTAGCATATTCAATTTTAGTGATCTCAAAATCCTCACTAATAATGCCAATAAAATTGAATCCTCACTAAAAATTCTCCTTATACAGTAATAAACAACTGCAAGAGGTTAAATATAAATGTATAAACTTAATATATAATGTAAATGTTCATATTCAATCACAGTCATGCAATATTGCTGTGAAATTATTTAAAATGCTAAAATGACCCCCACTCAAAGCTAAGGTACACCTTAAGGAGGTTGGATCCTGCCATCAAAAGTAATGAGAACTTTTTATCAAGTATATTTTTAGAATTTATACACATAGCTTTATTAAAAATCAAAACAAAAAATGGGGGTCAATGCGCTTCTTTTGGCGCTACAGAGCATTTAGTTTGACCTTTTTGCACTGTAAATACGTCTTACACATAAATCAATTTTTTAAGTTTTTCCTTCAATATTTTTTGTTCAAATAAATTATGGTGAACAAACACCGTCTTATTTCATCTTAAACAGACACATTAAAATTTGTAACAACGAAGAAATTTTTGAATTACTCCGCATGTTCAATTATTTGACCTTTTTGCACTCAAACATTTTCATTTTTCTGGTATTAAAATTTAACAAGCAAAAAAAATCATTTGAAAGTAATGACATTTTACTGAATTTAAGAAGAATGATTAAAAGTATCGTATGTATTCAGAAAAGAAAATTAAAAGTGGGGGTCTGTGATGTTAATTTTTAGATATTACTAAAATAGTGCTAATTTTAAGCTTAAATTAGGGCTATTTTTTTCTTCATTTCCACAATATATTTGCTATATTTATCAAATATGATGATAGAATTCATGACAGTTTTTTTAATAGATAATTTAGGACCAGTATAAAACAGTCCACTGCACAAAAGAACTATGTGTGCAGACTACATGTAAAAATAGGAATCCAAACTTAACATACTTTTAATTCTTCGAAAGAGAAAAAATTATCATTTTCTTCTAAAAAACCTTCCGCCACAAAATATAGTTCCTCACTTAATGCTTTTGGTATGGAATTTAATCATGGAGTTTTAACTGAATATAGTTAAATTGGCATTGTAGAATCCAAATTTATTGTAAGAATTAAAACATTATGCAGAATTTTTGAAATATAGGTTAAGATAAGAATCTGCTCAAAAGCTCAGGAGCGAACCTCGTTAAGTAGAAAAATTTCACACATGTGATAATTCTTACCATGTAACTTGTTGTCAACTTATCATTCTGTTGTTATACTTAATTACCAGTACTAGATAATATTCCCCTGAAGGCATACATAGCCCATAACAACATAGGTTTTTTTTCCCCAAAATCATCTATTAGTCAATTATAGAGTATTTTACATTATTTTACTGCTTAAGTTGTTATTTATGCTGGGGGGTAACTAGTACACATTTTAACAAACATTTGTGTGAGTATAAAATATGTGGTCGTGAATTTTATAGTTTGATACTTCTAAAACTTGGATATTTTTTTCCAAATTATATGTCAATTTAACGTTGCTGAAAGCTTACTGCATAACTAGATAAATAACCACGTCAACACTAAGTATAAAAAATGTGGATATCAGATCTCACGTAAACAATAGAAATCCTGTCTCACTGACCTGGCCTCTATTGAAGAGTCCTGCGGGGAGGTAATCAAACAGATAGATCATCTTAGTCTCTGTGATACCATTCTTCTTATCCGGCTCTGGCCATTCAAACTGTGGAGGAGTCAACATTAACACTCAAGGTCTGCTTTATGTACAACTCAACATGTTTGTAACAAAATATTTGAAACTCAGCAATTATTCTTATAAGTTATCAAAAGTATTCCCTAATTTGAAATGAGAATATTCATTGATTCACTGTTTTAAATGAACTCACCCAAATGCATTTGAGTTTTTTTTTCTGTCCTTACCTTGGGTTTATTTTCTGGTAGGAGACATGGAACTAAGTTGACTTTTTCCTTTGAGCCCTCCTCTGGAGGAATAAAGAACGTCAGATCAAACTCCTCAGTCAAGCGTAAAAGCCACTGGTGCAGGGACTCAGGATAATCCTTCCACACTATATTTAAATCTTTATGGTTCAGCCTCCCATTCTATAGATAAAAAACCCACATGCACAAAAAATGTTTTTATACCATTTGTTATCACATAAATTTAGATATTAGCACTTTTGTTGAAGGCTTTAGACAATAGTAAACATACCTCTTCTATGAAATGAAATTCAATGTATAATTTATGCTGAAACTATAAACTAAAACTAGTTATTTTTTAAGCATTGTATTAAAGTTATCTATTGACTATACACCTTAATTTATCTAATGACTATACACCTAATTTATCTATTGACTATACAACTTAATTTATCTATTGACTATACAACTTAATTTATCTATTGACTATACACCTTAATTTATCTATTGACTAAACACCTTAATTTATCTATTGACTATACACCTTAATTTACCTATTGACTATACACCTTAATTTATCTATTGACTATACACCTTAATTTATCTATTGACTAAACACCTTAATTTATCTATTGACTATACACCTTAATTTACCTATTGACTATACACCTTAATTTATCTATTGACTATACACCTTAATTATCTATTGACTATACACCTTAATTTATCTATTGACTATACACCGTGATTTATCTATTGTCTATACACCTTAATTTATCTATAGACTTTTCACCTTAATTGGGCTTTCTTTCACTGATACCACACACGCCATCACATCCACGATCCACTGAGGGTTGACCACCACTTTGGAATGTAAATATTCGTTACCACTGAAGTGTTGTAGGCACCCAAGGTCATGCAAAAAAGCCACTGCCTCTGCAAACTGAAATATTATTCAGCAAAACTAACATGCTTTTCTTTAAATGGTTTTGCAGAGATTATCATAACAAAGCAAATAAAATTCTATTTTTAAAACTAGGATAAGTGGGTCTAAAGTGCTTGGACGCTGAAGGGTATGAGATCTCCCCTGATTTGTACTCACCTCTTTTTCCTCCACTATACCCGCTACACTGGCCCTCTTAAACAGCTGATTGTAGTCTATCGTATCCATCTTTGTTTTTGTCTTCAATCTGAAGTTCAGGTTCATAATAAACATACAAAATTTGGAAAATTTGAACCACTGAATTAAGCTTACTTATTGTTGATTATATCGATGGAGGTATTTTTTTTTTTACCTATGAAGACTTTATTGAATTCTTTTAATAAACTTTAAAAAAAATTATCTTTATTTAAGAAAAATTGTGTCAACAATCCCATAGATAGAACATGAATAACCATTTTCAGCTTGTGATACATGATTCAATCTGTAATATTTGGGAAACACTAAAGAATCCAATAAGCACGTGTGCATTCTGATGCTGACCTTGTATTTATGCGCGTAGACAAAGCATGTGGGATAACCACGGGAAGTTATTGAGTACTTGGGATGAACATTACACAATTAAGAAATAGTACCATTAAAATAGTAACAATCATGTAAATGAATAATATGCAGTTATTACACAATCTTTAATTGAATATTGTTTCCATCACTTATTTATTACATTTAAGTACATGTATCAACTTAACATTTTTTATTTGAATTCCATAACATACAGTGTAAATAAGAAATGAATAAAAGAAATCTTCAAATGATGTTTGTCAATAAAAGGACACTTAGACATTTCTAAAAATCCACAAATTTAATTACTTTTTAATGATGTCCTCTAACTCTAGCCATGCCATAGGAATGGACTCCCCCATATAACCCTGAGTTAAGGTCACATTTACCAGTTTCTCCTTTAGCTCTTCAAGACCCTTAAAAAGAGTGGACAGGTACATCTGTATGCTTGTAAAAAAAAAAATCAATCCATCATCAAAATAATACAACATTGATTCCTATATCACCTATACACATACCTGTCCTGTTAGAGAACTAACAAAGAAAAACCCTTGGATTTGGCTAAAGGACGCCTTCAATTCTTCCATAGGTAATTCAATTTTGGACACCTATAAACAAGAAAAATCACCTGTGAAATATTCAACAGAAAAGCTACAAATGAAAGAAATTACTGATCAAAGAAGAAATCTGAATATCTATTTTTCTATCATTTTGAAATTGTATATATATATCCAATGAATATTTACCTAAATATTTAATTAAATATATATCTTGTTCATTTAAGAATTTACTATTTTACAGTCATATCTTTCAATGAATAAGAAACTTATTCATGTAAGTTGCTACATGTACAACTGCTTTCAAATCAATCAACAACATGCATTAGTGGTACAGGTATTACTTCAAAAGATAATTTAAATGAATTTTAACAAGCTTAAACTAAAAGAATGCGTGTAAAACATTTTGCATGGAACCTCATTTTTTGTAAGGAAAAATATATATTTTTAATGAACCATGAGTCCCTCCTCTATAAGAAGATTTCAGAAAATAAAAAGGAAAAAATTATTACTGCTACTACTTCAATCAGGAACATTTTTTGGCTACGTATTTACATACCTGGTCAACATGAGTTCCTACTACTATGTATCTACTTACTTGGTCAACATGAGTTCCTACGATAAGAACTGGAGCTTTAGGAGCATGTACAGAAATTGAGCTGAGCCAGAATTTGAGTCCTGCGTGCTCATGTCCAAGACGCACATTCCAAACCAAGAAGTAAACAGCTCGGTTTGACAGGAAAAACTACAAGAAAATTTCTAAATTACAAAATCCTTGCATATATATAGATTTTAAAATTTATAGCCTTGTATTCCTTGATCTTAGATTTTAAAAGTTGTTCTATAAATTTCTCCGTGAATTTGCAACCATTTGTACCCTCATTCCTGCTAAAGAGATAATGTTTTGAATAAGGTTTTTACATATTTTTCTTAAATTATTCCAGTCATTAATATTACACAATTTATGCCTTCTTAATTTATTAATTTGACCTTGCATGAATTCAGACGGGGATGCTCCCAGCATGCGCCCCCTCTAGCCCCCTCCCCCCAAAAATTCATTCAATGATGTATAGAGATAAAAAAAATTTAAAAAACAGTCATTTATGTACTAAAATGAGTTTCTTGCCAGCTCTCAGGAGCTTAGGGAGCTGTGCCTCCAGGTCCCTAACTGGACACTGTCCTTGACTCGCTGGGGACCTCAATGATACCAATGCCCAAGGCTTAATTAACTGGCCTTTTTTGGCACAAGATCCTGCACTTTTTGAATTGGGAATATTAAATCAAAAAAGTGGCAAAATTTAGAAATATTTATTCAAGTGCTTTTGAATGAAAATAATCCCCCCCCCCCTTTTTTAATTTATTCTGAATTTTTTTCACCTATTAATAACTATTTTAACTTCATATTTGCAAGTGTGTTTGTATAAAAATAATTTTCTCCCTACCTACCTACCCATATTTTTTATCCTGTGTCGGGAGAGGGCAAACAAACATTTTTTTTAAAGATGGCCTACACCAAACATGAATTATACACATTTTCTGCAAGTGACTTTGATCTTGCTGAATTAACCTTGGCTCAATGTCATGACACACCCTCAGGTTATAAGCACTTCTTCTGTCAATTACGAGTTTTCAATGTTTCTCCATTACATGTGACAAGGACAGGAATGGTACATTTCTCTGCAAGTGACCTTGAACTTATACCTCAGGTCAAGGTCATGTTACAGCTTAAGGTCATAAGCAATATTTGTGTCAAGTTATAGTTTGGATATGATTGTAGAGCCATAGAGCAGGACAGACAGCTAGACAAGTTGATTCCTATATATCCCCTCCTCCCCCCCCCCACCCCCCCCCTAAAAAAAACTTGTTAGCAGGGGGGTAAAATGACTCGATCCTTTCTATTTTCCTTGGCCAAGTGATTCTAAAGGATAAGTTGAAAATGCATAGAGTTTATACTTGACACATGATGCACAATGTATGGTAAACAAAGATGGACAAAGACAATAGCAAAAGGTCACTTTCATGACTCAACTGACCTTCAAATCAATATAAAGGCACTCAAATGATCAACATATGTAAAGCGTTTGATGACAATGAGGCAAAGGATTTGAAGATACTGGTTTGACACTACTCAAACTAATGAAGTATAGAGATATGAACTTACATAATGTGTGTTGTAGTACACTGTTTGTCCAGCAAAATCCCAAACACTATACGAGATCTCCTCATTATCTTTGGATATCTTCCATGTAGAAATATCAATGCCTGTTTTTTTAAAAAAAAAACATCCAATCAAAAAAAATCTTTTCCTTACTCCTATGAAAATAATATTCAAAATTTTACCAAGGACTAAATACAATTATAGGTTCCTTCCTCTAGCTATCCTCTACATACCCTCAAGTAAATATACAATCATGTACTTTTTGGAAGTTGAAAGACATTTATTGTGTTACATAAAGTTGTTGATAAATTAACAGACAGACATAATTTAATGACTATTTTATTAAGACACACATTTTCATGCTTGGTCCTAACAAGTATATCCAATATTTAATTAGGGTCCCGCAAGGATTTGTGGGTGCTCTATAGTAATCACTCTGTCTGTTTGTCTGTTATCTGTCATTCTTCCATCCACAATTTTTTTGTTTTTTTTTTCTAAATACTTTTGTTGCAGTTGTCCTATTTAGTTCAAATTTGGTATGTTGGTTGAATAGGCAGTTAGACACACAGTCAAACCTCATTATCTCGAACTCCATGGGGCCGAGAAAAAACTTCGAGATATCCGAGGATTTGAGATACCCGGGGTAAAATACTTAAGGAATAAGGGATTGGGGCTTCAAAATCACTTTGACATATCCATGGTATTCGAGATATCTGTGTTCGAGATATCGAAGTTCAACTGTATTTTGATACCAATTTGGATTCTGGATCTCATCCGGTTGGGAGCTGGGGTGATGGGGTAGATTCCTAATTCATAGGAACATTTTCATCAGTTATCTCTCTTTGTCCATTTAATCTTATATTGTAAACTGTGAAAGCTGCAATGAGTCCTCTATGATTAATTAACTTACCTGCAATAGAAAATCCAGAGCCTAATCTTTATCTGTGACATTAAGATTAATTAAAACCTCTACCTGCATGAAAGTGATGTTTATTCTGAAGCTAAGGTCAAGTCTGGGTGTTGTTTGCAATAACTTCAATATTTCAATCTGGTTCTAGTATACATTTTTTTTGCAATATAATTTTATAGAATTAAAAAAAAATATAGTTAAAGATATGACATTCTTATTGCTGCCTTATGTAAATTCAAGGACACGATTAAATTTTACAGGTACATTGTAGCTGGATAATAACCCCTCATTTTGTCATTGTTGAAAGTATTCACATTGTAGACTAAGAATAAAAATATGAGAGAGCAGTACAATGAATCCCTGGGGATTATTCATCTTGCCCTCTGCAGAAAGTACAGAGGCTTATCTTTATCTCTCACATTATGACTAATTATTACCTCTCTCTGCAAGTGATATCTATTCTGAAGTTAAGGTCAAGTCTGGGTATTCTGAAGTTAAGGTCAAGTCTGAGTGACGTTTGCTTTCACTATTAAAGGTTGGCATTTTATAAAATGCATACTTCAGTTTGGTAAAACATACATTTAATTATTATTTTTATAAGATATGATATGTTTTTGTTGCCTTTAGTGAATTAACAAGGATACTATAAATTATCCACAGGTTAGTTGGATTATAACCTCATTTGTCAGTTAGGAAATATCTTTAAATTTCATAATTTCATTTTACATGTGCTAGCTGTTTCACATTCTTCTTCATATACATGTATTTAAAATTTCCTTTATAATTTTTTTCTTTATCGAATTATCATTAATACATCCCTCAAACTGCCCTCAAAGATGCAGACCCATCTGCAGGGCACTTGCTGAGTGGTCAGTTTTCTAGTTTTTCGGGTAAAAAGATACTCACAATCTATAATGCTTTTATATTGTGTCAAGCTTGATTTGATGTTGTTGCTATTTATAGATACTTACATCTGTAATGTTTTCATGTCCAGTCAAGCGTGATTTGAGGTCATTGTTATTTATAGATACTTAACATCTGTAATGTTTTCATGTCCAGTCAAGCTTGATTTGAGGTCGTTGTTACTTATAGATACTTAACATCTGTTATGTTTTCATGTCCAGTCAAGCTTGATTTGAGGTTGTTGTTATTTATAGATACTTAACATCTGTAATGTTTTCATGTCCAGTCAAGCTTGATTTGAGGTCATTGTTATTTATAGATACTCACCATCTGTAATGTTTTCATGTCCAGTCAAGCTTGATTTGAGGTCATTGTTATTTATAGATACTTATCATCTGTAATGTTTTCATGTCCAGTCAAGCTTGATTTGAGGTCATTGTTATTTATAGATACTCACCATCTGTAATGTTTTCATGTTCAGTCAAGCTTGATTTGAGGTCGTTGTTATTTATAGATACTTATCATCTGTAATGTTTTCATGTCCAGTCAAGCTTGATTTGAGGTCATTGTTATTTATAGATACTCAACATCTGTAATGCTTTCATGTCCAATCAAGCTTGATTTGAGGTTGTTGCTATTTATAGATACTTAACATCTGTTATGTTTTCATGTCCAGTCAAGCTTGATTTGAGGTCGTTGTTATTTATAGATACTCAACATCTGTAATGCTTTCATGTCCAATCAAGCTTGATTTGAGGTCGTTGTTATTTATAGATACTTATCATCTGTAATGTTTTCATATCTGGTCAAGCTTGACATTGTTATTTATAGATACTTAACATCTGTAATGTTTTCATTTTCAGTCAAGCTTGATTTGAGGTCGTTGTTATTTATAGATACTTAACATCTGTAATGTTTTCATGTCCAGTCAAGCTTGATTTGAGGTCATTGTTATTTATAGATACTCACCATCTGTAATGCTTTCATGTCCAGTCAAGCTTGTTTTGAGGTCGTTGGACTGAAGAGCTCTGGCCAGGCTTAAAGAATCAAGGGACAACTATGACAATTAATATCAAGGCTTACAACAACAGCCTGCATTCTTTCCAAATTACTCCACCAATTTAAAAATTTATCCCCAAAAATTTATATTAGCATGATTTTAAAGCAGTCTATATAATAATCATATACAATATAAAAGTTCACTGAATTTATCATTAAATCAAAAGCTTTCCTCTTTTCTAAGACACAACAGACCTGATCTTCTTCTCAGACCTCCTAGTCTGAAATGTTACAATAAGATAGGTGACAAGTTTCTAGATTCTAATACCTTGTTTTTCCTGCTTCTCCCAAACCCACCAACATGAGTTTAGTTCTCCTACACTCCACCGACCCTGACAAAAGACGTCGGAGATATGCATAGCTGGCCGTGAAGCCCTGGTCTCGAATTTCTCTAGGTGGGGTTTTAAGTACCGGACACTCAGTCATTCCCAGGGCTGAAATATAATTTGTACTATAGCATAAGTAAAGTCTATCAGAAATTTTGTTTTAATCCAAAACTAGACTGCTAAATCACAGAATTTGTCATTGTTAGTGTTTTTCTTCCATTTCCAAAGTCTACAGATTGAAATCTAGTATACTGAACTCTACACTTAAGATACTTTGAACATCAATGTGAGAAATTCAGCTGAGCTTAACTGAATTGTATAACTCCCAAAATAATGCTTGCAAGAACAGAAGCCATTACAAAACAATAACCACTGAATTCATTTCTTCCTAATATTGTGTAATGAATGCTGCATGTATGTTATTTTGAAAAAGTGTACTAATGTACAACTAATAATACATATTGCAAACAATCTACTCTTTGCAAGCAAAAAACTTGTAAGATTTAAAACAAAACAAATACAACATGAAGTTCTAATGCTAAAAACATTGAAAGAAAAAGAAGTAAAGAAATGGTGGAACCTATTCAAAAATACATATAGTAAATAAGGATTGTAGCTAATTCTACTCACTCAGGAGGGGAATACTGCCCACACAGATAAGGTTGAGATTGTCAAATTTTTGAGATTCTAGCTGATGTTGCACAGAAAAGGAAGACTACCTAAATCTGTGCATAGTTGAAGTGGTTAAATCTGATATCACTAACACAGAAGAAAAAGACTGTCTGCTTCAGTAGCCTTGTTGTGGACAGGAGGATTGTAGAAGATGTAACTTACTCAGAAGAAAATAACTACCGTATCTGGTGGCATTGTCTTGGTTATAAGCATTTCATCTGATTCTACTCAGAAGAGGAAACACTGGCAACACAGCCAACACTGGCTGAGATGTCAAGGAGGTGAAGATTGTAACTGAAGTTACTTATTCAGCAAAGGAAGACTGTCCTCACTGGCTCAGAAGTGAAGGAGATGAAGATTGTAATTGATGTTACTTACTCAGAAGAGGAACATTTCCCACACTGGCTGAGATGTACATGTATATGTATAAGAGATAAGGATTGTAACTAATGTTTCCTACTCAAAAGAGGAGGACTGTCCACTCTGGCTAAGATGTGAAAATAACTGATGTTACTTATTCAGAAGAAGAGAACTGCAAACAGTGGCCGATATGCTGAGGTGAGGATTGTAGCTAATGTTACTTAGAAGAGGAAGACTGTCCACACTAGTTGAGATGTTCAAAGAGGTGAGGATCATAACTGATATGTTACTTAATCAGAAGAAGTGCTAGCAGTGGTTGAAATCTTGAAACTCTGTCTGAGATATTGAAATGATGAGGATTGTAATTGAAGTTACTTACTCAGAAGAGGAAGACTGTCCACACTGACTGAGATGTGAAAGAGATGAGAATTGTAACTGATGTTACTTACTCAGGAGAGGAATACTGCCCACACTGGCTGAGATGTGAAAGAGGTGAGAATTGTAACTGATGTTACTTACTCAGGAGAGGAAGACTGCCCACACTGGCTGAGATGTGGAGGAGGGGGAGGATTGTAACTGATGTTACTTACTCAGGAGAGGAAGACTGCCCACACTGGCTGAGATGTGGAGGAGGGGAGGATTATAACTGATGTTACTTACTCAGGAGAGGAAGACTGCCCACACTGGCTGAGATGTGGAGGAGGTGAGGATTATAACTGATGTTACTTAGTTTGGAGAGGAAGACTGCCCACACTGGCTGAGATGTGGAGGAGGTGAGGATTATAACTGATGTTAATTACTCAGGAGAGGAAGACTGTCCACACTGATAAGATGTGGAGGAGGTGAGGATTATAACTGATGTTACTTACTCAGAAGAGGAAGACTGCCCACACTGGCTGAGATGTGGAGGAGGGGAGGATTATAACTGATGTTACTTACTCAGGTGAGGAAGACTGTCCACACTGGCTGAGATATTGAAATGATGAGGATTGTAATTGGTGTTACTCAAAAGAGGAAGACTGCATACACTGACTGAGATGTGGAGAAGGGGAGGATTATAACTGATGTTACTTACTCAGGAGAGGAAGACTGCCCACACAAGCTGAGATGTGGAGAAGGTGAGGATTGTAATTGATGTTACTTACTCAGGAGAGGAAGATTCTTTACATTGACTGAGATATTGAGGTGAGGATAACTGATGTTACACAGGAGAGGAAGACTGCCCACACTGACTGAGATGTGGAGAAGGGGAGGATTATAACTGATGTTACTTACTCAGGAGAGGAAGACTGCCCACACTGGCTGAGATGTGGAGAAGGGGAGGATTATAACTGATGTTACTTACACAGGAGAGGAAGACTGCCCACATTGACTGAGATGTGGAGAAGGGGAGGATTATAACTGATGTTACTTACTCAGGAGAGGAAGACTGCCCACACTGGATGAGATGTGGAGAAGGTGAGAATTGTAACTGATGTTACTTACTGAGGAGAGGAAGACTGCCCACACTGGCTGAGATGTGGAGGAGGTGAGGATTGTAGCTGACGTTGAGATGCTGGAGACTGGTAAGGAAGGAGATGGAATCAGGGATATGTACAAGTCCTTGGTAAGTCAAATCGAGGTAGCGAAGATTTTGAATCTGAAGTATCTGCATAGGGAATCCACTGTCTGAGTTTTCATCTGCAGAAAAATTAGTAAATTTTAATAAAACTCTTTCACATTGTTCCTAAGAATTTTACAAAAGTTTATTTTAGGAATGACTCTAATTCTTGGCCAAGTTATTCCAGTATAACCTGGTTTGGGTCAATTTACGCTTTACAATAGGCAAAACTGACCCAAACCAGGTTAACTCGAATAACTTGGCCAAGAATTAGAGTCATTCCTTATAATTTAATTCTAAAATCATGAAACAACTGTGGGTGTAGAATTTCATTGCTTTTTATTAGTTCAAATTATGCTGCTCAATAATACAACCGTAGGAACAGATGTGAGGGGATCTAGAAACTGATACATAGGCCTAACAGCCATGTTGTTGTTTACATGTGGTAAGATCGAGTTACTGATTGATGTTAAAGGTACAGTTATTTAATGTGGAATTTGTCATGAACCCCAGGGACTGGAAATGAGAGGATTCAGCTGGTTGACGGGGGGGGGGGGGGGGGGGGGGGGTCCCTAGTAATGACAAAATCCATCTACCATAAAATTTATCATCATCTACAATTTTTACAAAACTAATCTGAAGTTAGAAAGTCTGTTTTTTTTAAATATCAAAAAATTAAAAACACACATTCAAAAATTTTAACTACCTTAAGGATATATGCAACATAGTTTTGAACTTAGTTTTCTTATTCCTTGTTTAACTTAAGGGTTCCAATAATTAAAGGATCTTTGTGCAGCTTTTAGAATACATAATGGTACTCCACACCTTTTCTTAATCAAATTTTGAGGAAATACATGTACCAGCTAAATCTATCTTTTTTGTTAATTTTTCTTTAAAAAACACCAAGATTTTTATCATTTGATATCAGTTCAAACCCCTGGTAATGTATGCTGATTTTCTGTCTAACAATAGCTGATGGTCTTATGATTTTAAAACAAGAATATCTTGAAAAATTATCAGTGGAAAAGACATGCACATTGCATATGACATGAGGCCCATGTGCCACAATGCTTACATTCTATCTTTCTCTGACAAATGAATAAATGATAAGGGCTTTTCTTTTGGTCATCACTTTAATATTTGCATTTATCACTTACTAGTAAATACACCAACTCTGCACTGTGCACACAATACCACATATCACTGAGTGGTCTGAAAATCCTTATCACCTATCGGACTGGTGTGCAAAATTCCATAGCAATCCAGAATGTTTCTAGATTACTTGATGATTTGAACAAACTTGAATCTACTCTAATGCCACATTTCTTTGACTAATCATGGCTTAAGAGGATTTTAAAGATTTTTTCCTATACATTTGATCTTCTTTTGTGCCCCCACCCCCCATGCTGGGGAGGAGGGGGGGGGGGGTCATGATATGAACAAGCTTGAATCTACACTACTTGAGGATGCTTCTGTATTAATATGACTAATTATGGCTTTGCTGTTCTTTTTTTTTTTTTTTTTTTTAATTATTTTATTTTTTCAACACAATTCATTATATACAAAATGTCCAATATCTTTTCTTTAACAGAATTGTGTATATATAGAGAGAGAGAGAGAGGGGGGAGAAAGAGAGAGAGAGAGTTACAAAAATAGTTGGTTCCACCTGTTCCACTGATCGTCAAATTTCTCTTTTTCACCATTTTTATATGATATATATTTTTGTGTTTGGTAAAAATAACTCAAGTGTGATATCGCAGAGTGCACATTTAGAGGTTTTTCAGTGCATCTAGAAATATAAATATAATATTTCAACCATAAGATTAAGATATTAGCTATTTCATTATTTTTTCCTCCAATACCTAAAATAAATGATTTTTTTGTTATGGACAAATGGAGGTTTTTCTGCTGGAGATAATATTCAAAGTTTTCAAGGAGTGATTGTACAAGATCACATTCCCATAAGATATGTTCAATTGTCTCTTCTTCTTTTTGACAAAAAGTACATTGCTTTGAAACACCCTTCTTAATTTTGAATAAAAAAGAATTTGTTGCCAATATTTTATTTAAAATTCTGTACTGAAACCACTGGAGTTTACAGTTTTTTGTGACTTGTGAAATGGTAATTTATGAATTATTTTGCATTCCTTGCTATCCAAATCAAATAATTCAATCCATTTTTTGTAACCAGCTGTTATAGAAGAATTTTTATTGAGAATTGCATAGAAGTTTTTTGATTTTTTGCATTTTGATACAAGATAAAAGTTAGACATAATAAGAGGATTTTCTGATTTTTGTAAATTTTTATCGAAATTGCTCCTCTTTATCCAAGCTTTAACTGCATGGATCAAGCTAGAATATTCTAAAAAATTAATCTTTATATCTGTATAAGTATTGGAAAAGCATTCATAGCTATAAAAAAAGCCATCTACTCCAATAATGTCATTAATATATCTAATATTATTGTCAAAAAGTTTTTTACTATAAAAGGTTTTCCCTCCAATATGGATCATAGGGTTATAAAACAGTGGAGAGTCTACAGTAGCATCAGAATCAGTACAAATTTTATTCAAATCAACCCAGGACTTGAACACATCAATCCAGAATTTATTTTTTAAGGTTTTCATAAGTTGAGTGATGTATTCAATACCACAGGATGCAAATTTATATATATTCATATTTGGGATGAAATTTTCCCACCCTTTATTTGTAAAAACTAGATGTCTTATCCAAACTAATTTCAAAGAAACATTGAAAGCATTTAAATTTATCATTTTCAGTCCTCCATCTTCATATTTTTTAACAATGACATCTTTCTTAACTCTATGAGTTGAATTATTTCATAAGAATGAGAAAAAAAGTTTTTCTAATTCTTTACAATAAGAATTAGATGGATTTGGGATTGACATAAATAAATGATTTAATATAGGTAAAGCCAATGTCTTTATAACAGTAATTTTTCCAATTGGAGTTAAAAACCTTTTTCCCCATTGACTAAGAATAGACTTGATTTGCACTAGCTTTGGTTGATAATTTATTTCACACATTTTATCTAGGTCAACATCAAAATTTATACCTAATAAAGTAAATCTAGTAGTTCCCCAATTAAGTTGATAATTTGGGATTAAAACCTCATCACTGTATTTTTTGGATCCAATCCACACAGTGTGTGTTTTTGAGAAGTTAATGCACAATCCAGACATATCTGAGAATGTGTTCAAAGTTTTCAGTGTTTCTAAAAGAGATTCCTCACTTCCATCAAGAATAAGGGAAGTATCATCTGCCAGTTGAGAGATCTTTTTTTTCTACATTTCTAATGGTAATACCTTTTATTTTTTTATTTTTCTTAATTTGTATGGCTAGAATCTCTGCACAGATCAAAAAAATATATGGAGACAAAGGGTCTCCTTGTCTGCATCCCCTCTGAATATCAATTACATCAGAAAAATTACCACCTTGATTAACAGTAGCTTTAATATCCGTGTAAAAAAGAGTGACCCATTTTCTGATGGAAGGGCCGAAATTAAAAAAATGTAATGCTTTTTGTATGAAGTTCCAGGAAAGAGAGTCAAAAGCTATCTCAAAATCGATCAGTAATAAAAGTCCTGGAATATCTTCTTCTTCTGTAAAGTGCATTATATCATATATCAATCTTATGTTTTCTCCAATATATCTGTTGGAGATAAAACCAGTTTGGTCAGGGTTGATTATTTTATCTAAATATTTTTTAAATCTGTTTGCAATAGAGCCAGATGCTATTTTATATACAGTATTTAGCAGTGTAATAGGATGCCAGTTTTTGAGAAAATGTCTTGGCTTGTCACCTTTAGGTAATAATGTTATAACTCCATGTCTTTGTGTAATAGACATGATATCATTCCTGCAACCATAGTTAATAGATCTTACGACAAAAGACCCAATATATTTCCAAAACATTTTAAAAAACTCTGTAGAGAAACCGCAGCTTTGCTGTTCTTGAGAAGATTTTTACAGATATTTCCTACATATTCCTATGTAAAACTTTGTCCCCTGTTGTGGCCCCACCCAATCCCCTGGGGTCATAATATGAACATTCTTGAATCTACTCTACCTTCGGATGCTTCTATATTAATATGACTAATCATGGCTTTGCTGTTATTGAGAAGATTTTTAGATATTTTCTATATACCCCTATGTAAAACTTTGATCCCTCATTGTGGTCCAACCCTACCCCTGGGTCATGATTTGAACAAACTTCCATCTACACTATCTGAGGTTGCTTTTCTATTAAAATGACTTCTTATGGCTTTGCTTTGATTCCCTGTTGTGGACTCGCACTACTCCAGGAGGTCATGATTTGAAAATAACTTGAATCTTCCGTATGTAATAAAGCTTTCATATAAGTTTCATCTTTTCTTGCCCAGTGGTTCTTGAGAAGAAGATTTTTAAAAGATGCCACCAAATTTTCACAAATTCTTAATTATCTCCCCTTGAAAGACGGTATGGCACTTCCTGTGAACAAACTTAAATCCCCTTCACCCAAGAATACTTTGTGGCAAGTTTGGTTGAAATTGGCCCAGTAGTTCTGGAGAAGAAGACAAAATTGTGAAAAGTTTACAGACAACACATGACGGATGACAGACACACAGGTGGACCGGACACTTTTTGACCTGACAGAAAAGCTCACTTGAAGGACCAGGTGAGCTAAAAATACTCCCTTAGCTATTTTCTGTGAAGCAAATTCTGCATTGGTTTGAAAATTTGGGAGTAAATACACCTTTTGCTAAAACATTATCTGGAGTTTTAAGACTCTCACTCAAGGTAAAATGACTCTGAGCACACTAATACCTGGTAATTCTTTTCCTTTGTATCCAAACCTAGGAAAGATGTTGTATATAGTGGCATTCAGTCTGCCAATCTCATTTTGGTCTAAAATACCATTACCATCCTCATCAAAGGACTTGAACAGTTCTTCCTTGTCCTAAAAATCATCAATTGTACTGAAAACTACCTCTGTAAGAACTAGAGAGCACACTACTCACATATATTAAACAGAGCAACAAATTAAAAGAAAACAAGAGGCCCAGGGGCCACATCGCTCACCTGAGCACTATGGCTAGGAAAAAGCAGAAATCAGTTCAGTCTTGAAAGGTTGAAAAGTTTAAAAAAAAAAAGTGGTTCGGGGGGGGGGGGGGGGGAGGGGGGTCATGAATTGAACAAATTTGAATCTACATTATCTGAGGATGCTTCCATTTCAATATGAACAATCATGGCTTTGCTGTTCTTGAGAAGAAGATTTTTAAAGATTTTTCCTATATGAATTGAACAAATTTGAATCTACATTATCTGAGGATGCTTCCATTTCAATATGAACAATCATGGCTTTGCTGTTCTTGAGAAGAAGATTTTTAAAGATTTTTCCTATATATTCCTATGTAAAACTTTGATCACCCATTGTGGCCCCATCCGACCCCCAGGGGTCATGACTTGAACAAACTTGAATCTACACTATCTGGGAATGCTACCATATAAATATGACCAATCATGGCTTTGCTGTTCTTGAGAAGAAGATTTTTCAAAGATTTTTCCTATATATTCCTATGTAAAACTTTGATCGCCTATTGTGGCCCCACTCGACTCCCGGGGGTCATGAATTGAACAAACTTGAATCTACACTATCTGAGGATGCTTCCATTTCAATATGACCAATCATGGCTTTGCTGTTCTTGAGAAGAAGATTTTTAAAGATTTTTCCTATATATTCCTATATTAAACTTTGATCGCCCATTGTGGCCCCATCCGACCCCCAGGGGTCATGACTTGAACAAACTTGAATCTACACTATCTGGGAATGCTACCATATAAATATGACCAATCATGGCTTTGCTGTTCTTGAGAAGAAGATTTTTCAAAGATTTTTCCTATATATTCCTATGTAAAACTTTGATCGCCTATTGTGGCCCCTATCGACCCCCGGGGGTCATGAATTGAACAAACTTGAATCTACACTATCTGAGGATGCTACCATATAAATATGACCAATCATGGCTTTGCTGTTCTTGAGAAAAAGATTTTTAAAGATTTTTCCTATGTTCTTGAGAAAAAGATTTTTAAAGATTTTTCCTATATATTCCTATGTAAAACTTTGATCACCCATTGTGGCCCCAACCGACCCCCAGGGGTCATGACTTGAACAAACTTGAATCTACACTATCTGAGGATGCTTCCATGTAAATATGATCAATCACGGCTTTGCTGTTCTTGAGAAGAAGATTTTTAAAGATTATTCCTATATATTCCTATGTAAAACTTTGATCGCCCATTGTGGCCCCACCCGACCCCCGGGGGTCATGATTTGAACAAACTTGAATCTACACTATCTGAGGATGCTACCATATAAATATGACCAATTATGGCTTTGCTGTTCTTGAGAAGAAGATTTTCAAAGATTTTTCCTATATATTCCTATGTAAAACTTTGATCGCCCATTGTGGCCCCACCCGACCCCCGGGGGTCATGATTTGAACAAACTTGAATCTACACTACCTGAGGATGCTTCCATGTAAATATGATCAATCATGGCTTTGCTGTTCTTGAGAAGAAGATTTTTAAAGATTTTTCCTATATATTCCTATGTAAAACTTTGATCGCCCATTGTGGCCCCACCCGACCCCCGGGGGTCATGATTTGAACAAACTTGAATCTACTATCTGAGGATGCTACCATATAAATATGACCAATTATGGCTTTGCTGTTCTTAAGAAGAAGATTTTTAAAGATTTTTCCTATATATTCCTATGTAAAACTTTGATCGCCCATTGTGGCCCCACCCGACCCCCAGGGGTCATGATTTGAACAAATTTGAATCTACACTACCTGAGGATGCTTCCACCTAAGTTCCATATTTTCAAGCACAGTGGTTCTTGAGAAGAAGATTTTTTAATGATGCCATTAATTTTTCACGAATTCTTAATTATCTCCCCTTGGAAGAAGGCGTGGCCCTTCATTTGAACAAACTTGAATTCCCTCTACCCAAGGATACTTTGTGGCAAGTTTGGTTGAAATTGGCCCAGTGGTTCTTGAGAAGAAGATAAAAATGTGAAAAGTTTACAACAACAACGACAACAACGACGACAACGACGACAGACAACGGACAAATTTTGATCAGAAAAGCTCACTTGAGCCTTTGGCTCAGGTGAGCTAAAAACACTAGATTATAAGCTAATGATCAAAACATTGTAAACCAGTTCTCAAAATAATTCCTGCAGTATATACCAGGTATATTAGAATATTAAAAAACAGCTAATAATTTCATTACAGTTCTTATGAGGATGTTGCCTTTTTTTTTTTTTATTAATATCCTAAATCAAAAATTCACTTCAGTGTAAACCCTTTGGTAAAATCAAATAAGATGAACCTCATTATGGGCATCCAGCCACCTTGCGAGCCCATGAACCTCTAGAAGTTCCACAAAGCGATCTCTGGACATAATATAGGATGGTGAGCTCACGAAGAAGATAACTCCGCGTAAAGACAGATCTGTCAAGCGCTGCAACATGACAAAACTGTCTGGTAGGGAAGTGAAACAGTTCCCCTTGGCGTACAAAATCTCCAGATTGTCCAGAAACCCTGAGGATAAAAACGTCACAAAATAAATCAGACTTCCTGATACTTCAATAGCGTTAAATTCACAGATTTTCTGTATGTACATATCCATTAGTCAGCTATTTAAGGAATGTTTTTAAGTTTTGTGTGAGTTATTGGTGTGTAAATCACACAGACTTGTCACGTAGGCATATTTCATGAAGCGCACTAGCGCTTCATGGAAAATATGCCTACGTGCAAGTCTGTACTTAAGAAGTATTTTAAGATGAATATTTTCATACCTATGTCATCTGGCAGGTGTGTCAGGAACATGTCATTAATGTAAAGCTGCTCAAGGCTAGAGCACATGGTCACCACCAGAGGGAGCTCATCCATCATGTTCCTGGAAATGTTTAACACCTGCAGACTTGTACACTGAGCTAATTCCATTGGAAGGTCAACCAGATTGTTCTCTTGAAGTCTCAGTATCTCTAGGAATCTGCACTGCCCTATTGTCTCTGGCAGTGATTCTAGAATATTTTCTGAGATATCCACAATTTTCAGATGCTTCAGGGAGGAAAACACCACATTAGGAAGAGTTGCTAAATTGTTCTTGGTCAATACTAGGTGCTGAATGAACTTACCATAAGCTAAAATTTAAGATTGATTAAAATTAAAAAATATCAATAAATATATAGCAAAAGAACTGATAAAAATTTTAATTACTTTGCTTCTTCCAACAATAGTAAATGTGCACAGTAATAATTACAGAAATGATCTCTTCCTTTATGTAAGATAAAAATGTTTGCCATCACAATTTACAAAATTGCATCGAGTTTCTCAAAGCAAAGCTTATAAGGCTAATGATTATATTTAACCATTTGATACACACTATCAAACCCTCGTAAGGAAATTTCACATATTCCTTGGCTCCGGACATAAGAACACCTGTGACCTGGACACAGAAACAGGAAGTGCTTGCTGTTGAAGAAGCTTGGCACAACTTCAAATCCTGTGGACTCAAAGTTATTGGACACAGATTTATGAACAAACTTCATGGTCTGAACTTCCAATTTCTTAGACCTCAGAAAATGCTTCACGGCATAATCTATTCCTCTGAAGATATGTTTGTGTACACTGGAGAAATTCAGGTAAGAGTTAATGCTGTGTAGGATCTGAAAAATCAATATTATTGCATTTATGAAAACAAATCTTTGAATGACGATAAATCCTCATCATATTCATTAATACAGAGCTATATATTATGAAAATAATATCAATATGAGTCATTCTTTCTCCAATATTAAATAAAAAATGAGAGAGAGAAAATAATCATGAGTCAACAGTTTGTCTGCTAGATGTCCATGAGTAAAGAAGAAAAATTTAAAAGTATAATGTATTTTTATTAATGGCCAACTTAGCCTCACTTTGGGGCCTGAATGCTGGATCAAAGGGAGAGACATTTAACTGTGGTAAAGGGTTGATGACAGAGAAGACATGCTTTCACTGAATCCTCTCAGTATAAAGTATATAGGGCTGAATTTGTATACTTAAGTTCTCTTTACCATATTAGCTTTGATGTCAGGTTCCTTTGCTAATTCTGGAAATAATTTCTCATAACTTGTTAGCTCCAACTGAAACAGATAAAACATACAAAATGGTCAGTTATTTAGAATGGCAACACACTGTTTGCTAAACAAGAGGCTTATAGGCCTTGACAGTCACCTGAGTATCATGAGATTCTCAAGCTATAGCCACTTTCTCCTCACCTAATACCGCACCTTGACCTGGACTCATATATTTTACTGTTGGGTGAGAACTCTATCATTATTAATTATCTTATTTATGAAACTTTTCTTCAAGATATTCAGGTAAGAAAAAGATATCTAAAGGTACATTGTATTATAAAGTTTTTTCAATATATGACCAACTGAACTCCACCCTAGGGAATGAACGATGGGCTAAGGGTGGTGAATTTTTTTAGAGCCTGAGGGATATGACTTTTATTATCATGCAAACAGTTTTTCAGCTAGTTTTCCATGAGTAAGGAAGATTTTCAAATGAGTAATGTATTCTCAATATATGACCAACTAAGCCCCACTGCCAAAAAGTAAAGAAGAAGATTTTAAGATTGCATTAATTTTGATGGTTTTAGCCACAACCCTCAGTCTCCTGGGAGCCATGCAGGGACCATGAAATTCACAATTTATGTTACCCTTTACCCATAGTTTCTACATACCAATATTGGTTAAAATTTTTCAGCAATTCATGAGAAGAAGTTGAAAATGTTCAAAATTTTATAAACGACAAATAACGGATGACACACAGCAAAGGACAAAACCAGATAGTAATAGGTCACCTTTGTGACTCAGGTGACCTAAAAATTCAGCATAATTAATATCTACTTATTAGTGTGACCACTAGTTTAGACTACAGTCTAAACTGTTCTAGATATAGACTGCACTACATTTGTTCAAGTTTTACTTGCCAGGTAATATTAATTGTTTTACAAACTAAAGTTGTAGAAATCCTTACCTTGACTGGGGAGTTAAGCACAACACATTGTGTCACCCAAAGAAAGACAGTATTTGCCAGATTCCCTTCTGTCTGAAAACCTGGAGCATCCATAATATGCCATTCCCACATGTCATTTTCACCACTGTTTAAGCGGGTGTTCTCCACTGAAAGTAGTAAACAATTAAGAGGAAAGTTCCATTTATCAGTATTAATATCAAAGCCAGAAGTAACATTTTGATTTTTGTATACTTCTACATGCAAGTATCCATAATTACACCAAGTCATTAAGTTTGCTAAGTATGTCATTTTCAATTTACCGGTAAAATTAAAACTCAAATTAATTCCCTTGCTGAATTTCTTTTTAAATTGCTCCAGCCAATGACTCTCACAAAGTAATGGTCCAAACACAAATTTTACACTTTGTATGCCAGTGAACTGGAACTTGCCAAAAGACCTTTAATCGAGCAGGCACATTTACAAAAGTATCTGAAGATTGTTACTAAAATATGTCACAGAATATACTGACTACTGTTAGATAAACCTTGAGATGGAAACCATCTTTATCTTACAGAAAATGTAATTATATTATATTTAGTTTAATTTCCTTCATGATGAATAAAATTCCCAAGAGAGTTTGATTTAAAATGAAACCTACACAAATTTTAAATAAACTAGCCACACAATTTTAAAAGTTTTTTTTTAAAGAATTATAATGAATATCCATGTAATGTAATCTTCATTTAAATAAACTAAGTCTTAAATTCAATGCTTTGTTGCAAGTTTGGTTGAAACAGTTCAAGTGGGTTCTGCAGAAGAAATGAAATATGAACAGTTAAGAGACAACAAATGTCAGATAGACAGATAAACTCAGAAAAAGTTGCTCCTGTGAGTTTTAAAATATACAACAGTTTGGTATTATTATATTTAGCACTATATCATTATGATTATCACCATATCATTATATTTATCACCTTCTCATTACATTAAACACCATATCATTACAATTAGCACCATATCATTACATTTATTACCATTTCATTATATTTAGCACAATATCATAAAATTCAGCACCATATCATTACACTTAGCACCATATTGGTATATATAGCCCCATATCATTACACTTAGCATCATATATCATTATGTTTAGCACCATATCATTACATTTAGCACCACAACATTACATTTAGCACCATATCATTACATTTAGCACCTTGAGTTACTTACATCTGTAATTACAGAGAGGATGGAACCTGATCTGGTGATTTTCCATCGAGTTCCACTTCGGATAAAGCACCGTTTCCTTTGTCATTATATTTGGCAATATTAACAGCATCACACCTTTTTCAAGAGAATTCAATATTGATATTACATGTATATAATATGTCCTTGCATCTTAATGGGCACAATTTATAACAAAGTCCCAAACAGAAGGAATATTTTGTTATTTCAATTGTAGTAATGTGTTCAAATCAAAAATAATTTTGAATAACATTAAAATGTGTTATATTACCTGCTGCCAAACTTTATATGAAACCATTAATATAATACACATGCTGGAAACTAGACAATTAATTCATACTTTTCACTTGTCTACAATACAATGGTCAAAATAATCTTTTTTTCTCATTTACAACTTTCTAATTATCCCTTGTTTCAAGTATTGGCTTGAACAAGAAATCTGGAAAATAATGTATACACATTGACCTGACGCCACACATTAACATTATACCTTGAATATTTGCAACCCAATCTCTTATATTTAATCTGTCCTCTAAAGCAGCAGCCATCTGAGAAATGTTGGATTCAGCCACTGTCCAAAAAGAAAATTCCAAAACCAAATCAAATTTCAGTACACCAGATGATTGTATACTGATATTGGGCAAACTGTAAAAAGAAATCTTTATATTATCCCTGCTTCATTAGAACTCAAGAAGAAAATATTCCCTATATTATCCTTATCAGTGCTCAAGGCATGAAGATATGACCCATATCGAATGACATATTTTCAATCCATAAAACACAAGATTCCCTCCCTCACCCAGGTCATATTCTGGGTTATAGCTATTGCTTTCAATGTTGCTAGTCCATAAGCAACATCTGAAGTAACATACTGGCAGTTCTAAACACATAATTCAGACAGCTGAGAAGTAACATATTTTAAGGTACACACCTGTTGGTACCCAGGTGCAGCACTTGGGAATGTACATGTCACCTCGGTTGTTGGTAAATTTTTTGGACAAAGCTTTTTCCTGAAATTAAAAAAAGAAAACTACTTTTAGTTAGAAAAACAAGTTACTTACATTAAAGATTGTTTATTTTGATACATGTATATTTGGAATTAACGCATTCATTTATTGCTTAAGCAAAATGATGAACAAACAGTTAAAATGAAGTGGTTGGTAAAACTTTAGGAAGACCTTCAATCTAACAAATGTGCCATACTGATAACTTCAAAAGTTGAATTGATTTCCTTGGTAGCTAGGACAAGCTACTTCATTAAAAGATAAAACAAGAAGTCTGTGAGCCACTGCTCACTAATAATACCCCCGCATCGGATTTGTACAAAAATGATGAATCCCAATGTATGGCATGCCTAAACAAAGAGTGTGTTAAAATTTCAAGCACCTGGGATGAGTAGTTGCTGAGAAAACTACGAATAAAATGTTTGTTATGTATGGTACGGACAGACACACGAATAAACAGGAAGTTGACATTGGATTAGTACAAAAATTAATCCCACCATATGGCATGCCTAAACAAAGATTGTGCTAAAATATCAAGCATCTGCGAAGAGTAGTTGCTGAGAAAACTACGACCAAAATTTGTTATGTATGGTACGGACAGATGCACGGATAAACAGGAAGTTGACATCGAATTCGTTCAAAAATGAATCCCACCATATGACATGCCTAAACAAAGAGTGTGTTAAAATTTCAAGCATCTGCAATGAGTAGTTGCTGAGAAAACTGCAACCAAAATTTGTTATGTATGGTACGGACAGACGCACGGATAAACAGGAAGTTGACATCGGATTAGTACAAAAATTAATCCCACCATATGGCATGCCTAAACAAAGATTGTGCTAAAATTTCAAGCGTCTGCGATGAGTAGTTGCTGAGAAAACTACGACCAAAATTTGTTACGGACAGACAGACACACACACAGACGGACAGACAGAAACACAAGGGTAAAACAGTATACCCCCCTCTCCTTCGGAGCGGGGGTATAATTACACATAAAACATCAAGGCCACTAGTATCATTGAAGGTCAATTTACATTATCCTCATCACTGAAGGTCAAAGTACACTAAAATCATTAAGGTTACTTACAATATCCTTATCACTGATTGAATCATCATCATCATCACTGAAGGTCAAATTATACTTAAAACATCAAAGTTACTCACATTATCCTCATCTTTGAAGGTCAAGGTACACTAAAATCATCAAGGTTACTTACATTATCCTCATCACTGATTGAATCATCATCATTGAAGGTCAAATTACACTTAAAACATCAAAATTACTCACATCCTCATCTTTGAAGGTCATGGTACACTAAAATCATTAATGTTACTTACATTATCCTCATCACTAATTGAATCATCATCATCATTGAAGGTCAAATTATACTTAAAACATCAAAGTTATTCACATCCTCATCTTTGAAGGTCAAGGTACACCAAAATCATCAAGGTTACTTACATTATCCTCATCACTGATTGAATCATCATCATCATTGAAGGTCAAATTACACTTAAAACATCAAATTCACTCACATCCTCATCTTTGAAGGTCAAGGTACACTAAAATCATCAAGGTTACTTACATTATCCTCATCATTGAAGGTCAAAGAACACTTAAAGCGAATCTTTCCACTGCTAGTTCCATTAAGGTGGTGTAATTTTGATTCCTCCTTAAAAAGACAATTGGAATCAAAATTATGTAAATTAAAGAACATTATCTTTTTGAGTCACAATTTTATTTTTTTTTTTTTGAGAATATGCCCTCTATGTTCATATACAATACATGTATCAACATTTATTGACTGGGTTCAAGTGCAACATGTGTAACTGCCAATATTTTGACAATGTGATATTCCTCCATAAATGATACCACTGTGTTAAATGCATTTACGAGTTTTCTTTTCCGAGTTTAGGGTGTGTGAGAATGCTGTTTTCTGATTGGTCAGAAATACATTTACATGTAAATGAAGTATTTATAGCAACTTTTAGATATTGTTCTTGACTTCCATATATGGAAATCATCCAGACCTGCTTAATAAAAATTAAAATAAAGCTTCTTAAAATAATCTGATTGTAAAACTCTCTTTATCATATATTCTATTCACATTGTAAACTGGGTTACTGGGTCATCTTACACCCACCTGATTGGATAACTCCCTTAACTGCTGTACAGTTAACATAACAACTCCCAGCAGGATGCTGTCAATGTGGTCAAATTCATACACTTCCTGAAACAACATGTTTATAACATAGAATTCGCAGAAAAAACGGAAAATGGCCACCAATATTTGTCAATTATTTTTAACCCAGCATATTTAAAAACTAGATGAGAGCACTGAGCTCACAAAATGATATCCCCTACTCCCATGTGAGCATAATGGGAAAAAAATCCATGTTTTGAGTAGGAAACTCCAAATATCTTTTCTATCAGAACGTAAAATATGTCACATCGGCACTTTGAAATTAAGATTTTGTGAAAGTCTTATCCAGTGGTATAGAAAGGGTTGCAGATAAGAGATGGGCACCCCAATATCATGGGGGGGGGGGATATGGCAGTGTTCATGAAACCCCAAATATCTGTCCAATTGAAACATGAAATAGGATCTGTACAATGGCACTATGTAATAAAGATTTATTTGAAGGCCTCATTTAATTTTATTCAGTGGTATAGGAAAAGTTGAGGGCATCAGTTCAGATTATTCAACCAAGCTGAATCTCAGCTGAGCTTAATTCCATCACAGTACTGAACAAACATATCAGTCAGTGTGATATTTGCTCTTGATTTTTCAATGGACCTTTTAATAAAAAGGAGTCTTCCTTTAACAATACTCTATATACAACAGAATTTAGTAAACAAGTTTCATTTTTTTGGTTGAAAAATACGCATAAAAAAATTTTGATGTGTTGATTTTCACCTTGATATATTGACTCAGATCTCTCAATGTCTTTCTTTAATCATTACCTCCCTGTTAAGATAGTATTAAGATAAGTGGAAATTTTAGAGAGATGCAAACTTAGCGATTTATCCCAAAAAAATTGGTATATGTTCTTAGCGAGAAATAATTTTAATGATTTTATAATGTCAAGAGAGATAGCTATAACAACCGATACGGAATAAATTGCTAGTGATATTCAATTTTAGCAATCTCAGAACTCTCACTAATAATGCCAAAATTGAAACCTCGCTAAAAATTCTGCTTATACAGTGGAATGAATATAACCCAATAATACAGCAGCCCATACAAAACCAATGTGTGACTTTTACATGATGGTCTGGGGAGATTAAATTCATATAGGTTCAACTATCAAACAAGAGGCCCAAGGGCCACATCGCTCACCTGAGCACTGTGGCTAGGAAAAAAGGAAAAATCAGTTTAGTATTGAAAAGCTTAAATGCATAAGTGGTCCCAACCTACCCCTAAAAAGGGAGTGGTGGGGGGGGGGGGGGGTCATGATTTGAACAAACTTGAATCTACACTATCTGAGGATGCTTCCGTATAAATATGACAAACCGTGGCTTTGCTGTTCTTGAGATTTTTAAAGATTTTTCCTATATATTCCTATGTAAAACTATGATCGTCCAATGTGGCCCCACCCTACCCCGGGGGGTCATGTTTTGTACAAACTTGAATCTACACCACCTGAGGATGCTTCCAAATAAATATGACCAATCATAGCTTTGCTGTTCTTGCGAAGAAGATTTTTGAAGATTTTTCCTATGTATACCTATGTTAAACATGGATCGTCCATTTTGGCCCCACCCTACCCCCGGGGGTCATGATTTGAACAAACTTGAATCTACACCACCTGAGGATGTTTCCATATAAATATGACCAATCATAGCTTTGCTGTTCTTGAGAAGATTTTTCCTATATGTTCCTATGTAAAACTTTGATCGTCTATTGTGGCCCCACCCTACCCCAGGGGTCATGATTTGTACAAACTTGAATCTACACTACCAGAGGATGCTTCCAAATAAATATGACCAATCATAGCTTTGCTGTTCTTGAGAGGAAGATTTTTGAAGATTTTTCCTATGTATACCTATGTTAAACATCGATCGTCCATTTTGGCCCAACCCTACCCCCGGGGGTCACGATTTGAACAAACTTGAATCTACACCACCTGAGGATGCTTCCATATAAATGTGACCAATCATAGCTTTGCTGTTCTTGAGAAGAAGATTTTTGAAGATTTTTCCTATATATTCCTACGTAAAACTTTGATCGTCCAATGTGGCCCCACCCTACCCCCGGGGGTCATGATTTGTACAAACTTGAATCTACACCACCTGAGGATGCTTCCAAATAAATATGACCAATCATAGCTTTGCTGTTCTTGAGAAGAAGATTTTTGAAGATTTTTCCTATATATTCCTATGTAAAACTTTGATTGTCCATTGTGGCCCCACCCTGTCCCCGGGGGTCATGATTTGAACAAACTTGAATCTACACTACCTGACAATAATTCCACATGAGTTTCATCTTTCCTGGCCCACTGGTTCTTGAGAAGAAGATTTTTCAATAATGCCATTAATTTTTTGCTATTTCGTAATTATCTCCCCTTGGAGGAGGGCGTGGCCCTTCATTTGAAAAAATTTGAAACCCCTTCACCCAAGGATACTTTGTGCCAAGTTTGATTGAAATTGGCCTAGTAGTTCTGGAGAAGAAGATGAAAATGTGAAAAGTTTACGACAACAACGACGCTGACGACGCCGACGACGACAACAGACAACGGACAAATTTTGATCAGAAAAGCTCACTTGAGCCTTTGGCTCAGGTGAGCTAAAAACTAGCTGATAGTAACATCCCTGAGTGACTCAGGTGACCCATTGATAAAACATTCTTGTCTAACATGAAACAATGAAAATAAACCTTACAATTTCCACAACACTCTCAGGGTCATCAATTTGGAATTCCGCAGTTTCATTAAACCTTGGACTAGACGTGCTCTGGACTTTTGTCTTATACACCACCGCACTGTCCAGTTTTACTTGGCAGAATGGCTTCAACTCATCTGAAATACCAAACTTTCTAAATGTATTTCACATTTTACATTTACATTCATTTACATGTACAAGTATTAAATCTCTTATCCCCAAGCTTTAAGGGGATCATAATGTGACGGTGTACGTATTACATAGTTGTGTTTGTATCATGCCAATTATGGCTGTCACTTGTTGATCCTATGAACCATAATTTTGTACTGGTTCAGTAACAAAAATAACTATTGACCTATAGAATTTATTTCTTTGTTATGAATATATATGTACTTTATCTCACAACACAAGCTGATCTTCACTTATAAATCAAACAACTTTCGTAACATTAAGCTACAAAAATGATAAAATTAAGTAAAACGTGTTTCCTCAAGATTATGCAAGAATCTCCATATATATAAACTGATTGATATTCAACTTGTAAATCTATTTTTATATATATACTGACTGACTTTCTAGTTGTTCATGGAATTTCTCATCATACCTTCTTTAACTCCAGCCAATATATCTTTTTTCATCTCCTCATCATATATGGCACTTCCATTAAGGATTTGAAGCTTTGCTGTGGCAGTCCCTGAAATCAGAAGTAAAATTTCTATAATGAACTTAGAGAAATAATGAGATCTATTTTCTTAACATATATCTTTGGAGGAATCATTATTTTATTATTATACTGTATTCAAGTATAGCAAGGTTATTATTATACTGTATTCCCTAGAGTTTCTGATGAGACTGTTGCTCTACTGATTTGAACTTATACAAGAGAAATGGTGCTCTTGAATCTATATGTCTTTGTTTTTGTGTTTAACACTGCATAAAATGATGAATTTTGATGCTTTCTTGCATCAAGTTTTATTGAAATAAAATCAAATTTTACAGGAAGAGTATCACTGACGAAGAATTTCATAAATCGTTCAATTTTTAGAATAAAGGAAGGTTGATTTATTGTTATATTGTGACTGGAACCAAGAGAGATAACTGCAGCCTTGTGATGGGGTATTGATTAATTGATTATTGTTTAACGCCGAGTCAGCAGTATGTCAGCCATATTTCGATGGGTGAATTTATACATTTTTTTTTACGATTTTTACGGTTTTGAAAAATTTTAATTTCTCTGGTGGCCCCCAGTGAGCCTGCTCTTTTTTGAAAACCAGAGAAACAATCTTTTTGCATGCCAAGGGGATTGTGATCCTTGACACAGGGCACCATTTAACAACCCATCACTATTAAGTTCCAACGGACTTAATAGTGATGGAATAACTGTCCCTGACTAACATACTGATTTCTTTAATTGTTCAATATAAATGCTAGGTCAAAAGTAGACAGTGTTAGCAGGAATTTTTGGTACCATTTAACTAACCCTGTCACTAAACTATCCAGATTAAATAAAAATCTATTTTGAATATTAAAACTATACATTTTAAATAACATTATTCAAAGTCAATTCATACTTAAATTACTCTAGAGAACTCTAAAGTGGAAGTTATGAGCCAGAATGATTCACAAGGAGAGAAGTTAAACTGCATGAGGACAATAAGTGATATCAAATGGATAGAAAGATGAATAGACAGACTGACTAGTAACTAGTGACCATTGAGTTTGGCCTAATTTAAAAATTTAATATTCCTGTTTGCTCAAGATACACTCTTTCCAGGATTAAATTCTAGCAACGGAGCTTATAATTGAACCAATATGTATTACAAGAAGGAAAAAATCTCACCTGAGAATTCATGTGCCACAGTTGTAATTTTTGGCATTTCCTAAACAGAAATTACTTACGTAAAGTAGTTGTAATGCATTCATCTCATATAAAGTCTCTTTGCTTTGTTATTTTACTGAAAATTACTTTTTTCTCACCAGCAATTAAAATTTTCATCAAATATTAATAGAAATAAGTAAAAATATTCATTTTAAAGTATTAAGTATTACCTGATGTAATTTTTAACAAAAATATCTTGAACCCCAATACTATGTTTGGAAAAGCTAACTTTTAACCCAACAATATAATTAGTAAGGGTGAAACATTTACTAAAATTTGTAAAAGGTTAAACAACAATGAACAAAAAGTTTCTTTTTAAATAGAGAAGTATAATGTCCTAAATTTCAAGGCTATAAACTTGTAAAATATTTAATAATTAATAAAGTCAACTTTTTTTCCCCTGTATGTATGAGATCTTATTACACGATTATTTTATTTTACTTTGTGAATCAAAAAAAATAAAAAGCATCTGTTGGACTCATTTTATACACCCATCAATTCAAAGATTCCGCTAACCACATACCGCAAATTTTGAAAATATTTTTGGTTACATGATAGCACTGTAAGATCTGATTCAATGATTACATCATTATAAATTCAATTCCACACAGACATATGATAACTTGAATTGTCTTAATAATAAAAAGCAACTACAAATATCATTTATTTTTAAAATTAGTCAGTTTTGGAATGGGAATTAAATATTGGACCACAGTAGGTTTGATAATTCTGTGCATCTTATTTCCAGTAGTAATCAAAACTGTGTTAAGATCGTGTTAAAAAAAAGATTACGGTAGATCAAAAAATAAATGTGAATCAAATTCATAACAGTAACCTTTGTGTACACATTTACTCATTTTGTAAAATAAACAATTAGTACAATTAATCCAACTGCCACTTTTACACGTAATCATTTTAAAGTATTAAGTATTACCTGATTAGTCTGACTATTACTGGATGAGCCAACTAACAAATATTTGATTGAATTAGCCCACTTAAGATCATATAATTGGTTTAGCTCATTTACTATCATATAATTGGAAAAGCCCAATCACTTTCAGATGATTGGTAGAACCCACTTACAATTTGCTTACTTGATTGGATAAGCCTACTTACTGTTATACGATTTATTTAGCCCACTTAATCCCGATTGGAAAAATCCACTTAAGATCATATGATTGGTAGCCCATTTATTATAATATTATATTTCATATAATTGGATAAGCCCTCTTATTGTCATAAGATTGGACTGGCCAACTTACTATCAGTTTATTGACTTAGCCCATTTACTATCAGATAGTTGGATGCGCCCACTGATAATATGTTTGGTTAAGCCCTCTTATTATCAAATGATTGAATTGGCCCAATTGCTATCATATGCTTGGATAAGCCTACTTACTATCATATGATTAGATAAGTTTACTTACTGTCATATGATTGGATAAGTCTACTTACTGCCATATGATTGGATAAGCCTACTTACTATCATATGCTTGGATAAGTCTACTTGCCACTGTATGACTGTTATATGATCGGATAAGCCTACTTACTATCATATGACTGGAAGACAATGAGACACTCCCTGGCCGAACACAGCTGATGCTCACAAACATATTCCTGTCAGGAACTGCCAGATCGAACACAGTTTTCTTATTCTGTGTTATTCTTAAAAACTGTCCACACATGTCATTCTGAAATTGTAGTCCAGCATTAAGCTTTAAAGTGACTAATTCTTGATTTGTCATTAAATATCATATAGTCATAACATGCATCACAGCAATATGAACTTTTTGGAAAACACAATAACTATCTTCATCCCATTACAATATGTAGTATATCTCCCATAAGACATTTAATGCATACCTTGTTTATGTCAAAATATATATCATAGATGTCTCCATTTTGGTAAGGGGCCAGAACATGTAAAATTTTCTCTGTTTCCTTGAAAGGGGTGATCTGGATTTGTTTGATGAACTTCTCATGGCATAAAACATGCACTTTACATGATGACCTAAACATAAATGTTAAAAATAAGATCCACACACAGGTACATAGAGCAGATTAGTTAAACTGTACTTCCAGTATGTATGTTGAAAAAATATGACAATGTATTTTAATAGAGGTCACAGTTGAACTTTTGTATCTTGAACACTGATATCTCAAATACCTTGGATATGTCAAAGTGATTTGGAAGTCCCAACCACTTATTCCTTAAGTACTTTACCCTGGATTTCTTGAATCCTTTGATAATATCACTATTTTTTCTCAGTCCCACTGAGTTGGAGATAACAAGGTTTGACTGTATGTATATGAAAATATTGAATTTACTCACGATGTAACATTTAGGATGAAATGTCCACGATGCAGACAAGCCCTCAGATGGCTGAAGTACTCTATAGACAGAGACTGAGAGAACTTGTATTCTGAGTTTGTTGAAAAGAACACAAAATTGCCATTCTGTGAGAGATCAGTTTCCACCATCAAGGACATTAATGTTTCTGACTGAAACTGTGGATTTGTGACAGAATGGGCTCTCTGAAAGAAATGTAGAATAGGTATGCATATTAAGATATTCATGCCAAACTTTGGTACACTAGGCCACAAAATAAAATGCTTAACACTTGAACCTCCAATACTCAAATTCAATGGCTATCATCACATATTAAGCCAAAAAACAGGCATTCTGTCAACCTGATTAAAGGCACAGTTATCATCACATACTAAGCCAAAAAAAACAGTCATTAACTGTCAACTTGATTAAAGGCACACTTACCGCTAATCTCTGTACACAAAATCTACAAACTCCACAATATTTACACAGGAAGGCTGCTATTAGACACCCACAATGCCTGAAAATATAACATTCCTTTAACGTTACATACTACTGTATAAAGGAAATGTTTACTGACCATCTAATTTTGGTATTACTGGCAATGGTCTTTTCAATGCTAAAAATAAATGTAGCTAATCATTCAATCACAAATATTGTCATCATAGAAAATAAAAAGAGTTAAACATCTAAAAATTAATTAAGCTACTAATAAATTCCCATGTATAGGATTTAACTGCTAAACTTGCAGGGTTCCTAAAACAATCTGTCAAATGTTCAGTTTTGAAGCTATTACAAACACAATTCTTCTATAAATTTGTAGCCTTCATTGGTCAATAAAGACATATTGTAAGTAGCAAGTAAATTTTCTGAGACTTTAGAAATGGACCTTTTTTTGTACACCCCAGTGTCGTCACCAAAAAAAAAGAAATTTCATGCTCTTTTCCATGCTGATAAAGTCTCCTATTCTATGTGACTGTATAGCTTCTCTGTTAATGCTTAAATTTCTTGAGTACAATTTATCCATTTTAAACATAAAAAATCATCAAAACTAAAAATAATTTGCCAAGATTAGAAAATGTCAGAGGCAAAGTAATCCAGCTGGAATTTTTAATCTATTCCAGTATATTTACATTTAGACTTAAGTGTAGTTTTCTTTATAAAATCCATTGGAAATCTACAACATTTAAATCCCCATAACATACATGAAACCTTGTCACGGCACAGTAGAATACACAGTAGGAACTGCATACACTTTCAATACACTAGAAACACCAAAACACGTATTGTTTTGGCTCCTTATAATAAAAACAAATACCCCATTAAATTTGTAAAAATATCCAATTGTACATTAAGAATTAATTTGCCATTTTTTCCCTTGCAATATTATATGCATTATTTAAATTTCCACATCATAATGGCTCTATGTCTATTAACACTAGTTCTGAAAAGCACTAAATTTATGATAAAGATAATTGAAATTAAATTTTTTGACGAAAATAAGTTAGAGATTGTATATAAAAGCACATAAAAATCTTATTTTTAGATGTTGTCGGTCATATAACAGCACCTATCTGTGCTGACAAATTATAATACCATGCCAATGCAATATATTTATTTTGACAGCATGGCCAGGTGATGTTATAGGACTGACAACATCCAAAAATAAAATTCAATGCTTAATTTCATCTTGATGTTATTACCGAACTGTTTTTCCACTTTCCACATTTGCATAACACTGGAGATTTTCTCGTGAGCAGTTCCCACACATGAAACAGCGAGTATAATTGGATCGAGTTGCCACTGTGTCTTCTATCATCTTTTCATATTCCACATCAAAACAGCTGTGATTAGGTAAATGTCTTGTATCTTTTCTCTGAAAATCTACAAAAACATGAAAGCTATACCATATGTTTACATTATAGTCATAAAAAGCTGATTTTCTGTTTCTCCTAAAGATTTTACTTATTTTTTAAACTAATGATATGACAGTTTATTTTCAGACTAAACAATATTTTTTTTTTAAATCAAAGGTTAAGAAACTTGTACTGACCTTTTGACCCTATAATATTGACCTTGTTCCATCTTTACCTTGACCTTGATCTCACAAAGCCTTGACCTCAACCAAACATAATGTCAATATCTCATGTAGCTCATAAAATACTGTGGAGTAAGTTTAATTTGTGGAGAGCAATTTCATGTATTGCTGAAAATATAATACTGAGTAAGGAATATAATTTCATGGATGAATGACTCAATCTGAAGGATACCACTATTTTTAACATTCAAAGAAGTTTTGGATAGGGATATCCATGAAATCCATAAAAACTAAACTCCCACAAATCATAAAAATTTCACAGTAATACAGACTGAATGTAAACTGCAATGGATTTACCAAGGTCAAAATAGTCCATCAGAGACATTTTACCAGGGCCAAAAAGAGCCCATCAGAGACACATCTTACTAGGGCCAAAATAGCCAATTAGAGACACATCTTACTAGGGCCATTGTATCTATGAGAAAATTTCTTATCAGGGCCAAAGTAGTGCCCCAGAGACACTTCCTTATCAGGGCCAAAGTATCTATCAGAGACATTTCATACCATGGCCAAAAGGTCTATCAAAGACACTCTTTACAAGGGCCAAAGTATTCCATCAGAGACACTTCTTCCTGGGCCAAAGTAGTTCATTGGAGACACTTCTTACCAGGGCCAAAGTAATTCATCAGAGATACATCTTACTAGACCCAAAATATCTTCTATCACAGACACTTCATACCAAGGCCAAACTAAGACATTTATTACCGCGGCCAAAAAGTATCTGTAAGAGACACTTCTTACCAGGGGAAAAATACTGTATACAGGGTTATTTTCGCCTGATCTTATTTTCGCCCTTTTACACCTGCAAACACTATTGCCCCGTTTTGAATTCACCCAGACACAGTTCCGTTTAAGAGATAATGCCGTTTTCTTTGAATTTGCTCATTTTAAATTTGCCCAATTGCGACGAAGGCAAAAGGGGTGAAAATAAAATGGGGGCAAAAATTTCCCTGTATACAGTAGTCTATCAGAAACACTTCTTACCAGGCCAAAAGAGTCTATCAGAGACACATCTTACCTGGACCAAAGTTTCTATCAGAGACACTTCTTAACAGGGCGAATATAGTCTATCAAAAACACTTCACATCAGGGCCAAAAGAGTCCGAGACACTTCTTACCAAGGCCAAAGTATCTATCAGAGACACTTCTTACCTGGGCCAAAGTAGTCTATCAAAGACACTTGGATTTCCTCCTCTGCCTCATTTAAGTTCTTGTTTCCTATCTTTTTACAGCAGAGTCCACGATCGTGTCCTCCTAGAATCCTCAATTCTGAGAAGTGAGTAAAATTCTCCGAGTCTGCAGCCTGGTATCTACTGCCAGTGGGCAGGCAGTGATGGCATGTATAATATCTCTACAAGTACAAATACCATATTTATAAATTGTGTGGAACTCTTAGTAATCAAACATGCACAGAGAATTAACCATGGACAACTCACAAAACTAAAGAGGCAATATGTCACTGACTTACTCAGAATATTTCAACTTTTATAAATTTTGTTAATACAACAATTTCTCTTCAATTTCTATAATATTTCCATATAACTATATAGTTAATCTCTTTCAATTTTAAGATTAATTTCCGAATGTATAATTCAGAAAAGCATTATTACAGCAAAACTGTTACATACAAGGGGATATCAAAAAGTTTGGAATGATGTGATAAAATTAATACAATGTACCATATATGCTGTGCTTACAAATTTCAAGAAGTGTTGAAAATTTTAGCTTGATACATCGTTATTTTTCCAATTTATCATTAATTACGAAGACATTACATGACCAGCTCCACCTGTTTTATGACTTGGGAAATGTCATTGCTTCTCGATGTCTGCATCTTCTGCCTCAATAACTTTTATTGATGAGATATCCCCGTATTAAATACTTAATGAAACCCATCTTGTTTGTATGATTTTAAAATTTCATGAACAGCTGATTTCAAAATATAATATTCTAGATTGACCTATACTTAAGATAAAGATCCTCAGTTGACTCTGGCAGCTTTATCTGCTCATTGGAGTTCAATTTCTACCAAATGCAGGCAATCTAACTTTTTGACCTGACTGACTTTGGACACCTGGACAGCAATCAGCATTAAAAATTTCTCTCCTCTCTTTGAATCTTTTGTGCCATTTAAAAAAGAGAAAAACTGGACTAATTTTGTCCCTCTCTCTGGCTTGTTCTAATATTTTTAAATCTGTGTGAGTTTTTTTTTCTCCAAAAGTGGAACAAAAGATTGTGGCAAAAACAAAATCCCTACCCCCTTTTTCTGGCATCATTTTCTTTCACCACTAAATATTTACACCCTCTATTGAATTTACAATAAGATCTTAAAAAACGGGCAAAATTAGAAATGCATTGTAAATTTTATGCACAATTATGTAACATCAAACTAGTGAATTAAAATAATTATTAGATGAGAAATGCTAATATCTTAAGATTTGTTTTCTTTTAGACTCACTACTTGTATACAAAAAAAAAATATATAAATGTGTAAAAATTCACTGATGTGTCTTAAATGGTTTGATATTTAAGGCCAAGTACACAAAATTTTTGATAACCCCGTGTATGTACATCAATAAGAGTGTCCAGCAGATATACTACAGTAGAAAATTTTTCAAGAAATAATTCTGTTTCAGACTTTTAGTATACAATCAATTTAGCCCCATACTGTTACTGAACCAACAAAATATCCCTATTTTTACCTGCACATAGATTCTGTTCTTTTGAATATGGGCATCAAGGATGGAACAGATCTGTTTGAATCCATTCCACAGCATGCTCTCTAATCCATCATTGTCACCCTTAAAGGCTGCCTTACTGATGATATTAGGATTCTGAACCCGACTACTGACAACAATGGTAGAGCCACCTATAAAACAATTTATAATTATATGTAACTAACTGACAACAATGGTAGAGCCACCTATAAAATGATTTATAGTAATATGTAACTAACTGACAACAATGGTAGAGCCACCTGTAAAATGTTTTATAGTTATATGCAAGTAACTGACAACAATGGTAGAGCCACCTATCAAATGATTTATAGCTATATGTAACTAACTGAAAACAATGGTAGAGCCACCTATAAAATGATTTATAGTAATATGTAAGTAACTGACAACAATGGTAGAGCCACCTATAAAATGATTTATAGCTATATGTAACTAACTGACAACAATGGCAGAGCCACCTGTAAAATGGTTTATAGTTATATGTAAGTAATTGACAACAATGGTAGGCCACCTATTAAATGATTTATAGCTATATGTAACAAACTGACAACAATGGTAGAGCCACCTATAAAATGATTTTTAGTAATATGTAAGTAACTGACAACAATGGTAGAGCCACCTATCAAATGATTTATAGTTATATGTAACTAACTGACAACAATGGTAGAGCCACCTATAAAATGATTTTTAGTTATATCTTACTAACTGACAACAATGGTAGAGCCATCTATAAAATGATTTATAGTCATATGTAACTAACTGACAACAAATGGTAGAGTCACCTATAAAATGATTTAAAGTAATATGTAAGTAACTGAAAACAATGGTAGAGCCACCTATCAAATGATTTATAGCTATATGTAACTAACTGACAACAATGGTAGAGCCACCTATCAAATGATTTATAGCAATATGTAACTAACTGACAACAATGGTAGAGCCACCAATAAAATGATTTATAGTCATATGTAACTAACTGACAACAATGGTAGAGCCACCTATCAAATGATTTATAGTAATATGTAACTAACTGACAACAATGGTAGAGCCACCTATCAAATGATTTTTAATTATATGTTACTAACTGACAACAATGGTAGAGCCACCTATAAAATGATTTATAGCTATATGTAACTAACTGACAACAATGGTAGAGCCACCTATAAAATGACTTATAGTTATATGTAACTAACTGACAACAATGGTAGAGCCACCTATCAAATGATTTTTAGTTATATATGTAACTAACTGACAACAATGGTAGAGCCACCTATAAAGTGATTTTTAGTTATATATGTAACTAACTGACAACAATGGTAGAGACACCTATCAAGTGATTTTTAGTCATATGTAAGTAACTGACAACAATGGTAGAGCCACTTGTAAAATGATTTATAGTTATATGTAACTAACTGACAACAATGGTAGGGCCACTTATAAAATGATTTATAGTTCTATCTTACTAACTGACAACAATGGTAGAGCCACCTATCAAATGATTTTTAGTTATATGTAACTAACTGACAACAATGGTAGAGACACCTATCAAGTGATTTTTAGTCATATGTAAGTAACTGACAACAATGGTAGAGCCACCTGTAAAATGATTTATAGTTATATGTAACTAACTGACAACAATGGTAGGGCCACTTATAAAATGATTTATAGTTCTATCTTACTAACTGACAACAATGGTAGAGCCACCTATAAAATGATTTTTAGTTATATGTAACTAACTGACAACAATGGTAGAGCCATCTATAAAATGATTCATAGTTATATGTTACTAACTGACAACAATGGTAGAGCCACCTATCAAATGATTTATAGTAATATGTATGTAACTGACAACAATGGTAGAGCCACCTATAAAATGACTTATAGTTATATGTAACTAACTGAAAACAATGGTAGAGCCACCTATAAAATGATTTATAGCTATATGTAAGTAATTTACAACAATGGTAGAGCCAACTATAAAATGATTTATAGTTATATGTAAGTAACTGACAACAATGGTAGAGCCACCTATAAAATGATTTATAGTTATATGTAAGTAACTGACAACAATGGTAGAGCCACCTATAAAACAATTCATAGTTATATGCAAGTAACTGACAACAATGGTAGAGCCACCTATAAAACGATTCATAGTTGTATGTAAGTAACTGACAACAATGGTAGAGCCACCTATAAAATGGTTTATAGTTATATTATTATGTAAGTTACTGACAACAATGGTAGAGCCACTTATAAAATGATTTATAGTTATATCATATGTAAGTAACTGTATTATATGTAAGTAACTGACAACAATGGTAGAGCCACCTATAAAATGATTTATAGTTATATGTAACTAACTGACAACAATATAAAAGGATTAATAGTTATATGTGAGTAACTGACAACAATGGTAGAGCCACTTATAAAATGATTTATAGTTATATTATATGTAAGTAACTGACAACAATGGTAGAGCCACCTATAACATGGTGGTTTATAATTATATGTAAGTAACTGACAACAATGGTAGAGCCACCTATAAATGATATATAGTTATACGTAAGTAACTGACAACAATGGTAGAGCCACCTGTAAATGACTTATAGTTATACGTAACTGACAATGATGGTAGAGCCACCTTCAAAAAAGTTTTACATTTATATGTAACCAACTGATAATGTTGGTAGAGCCACCTATAAAACAATTTATAATTATATGTAACTAACTGACAACAATGGTAGAGCCATCTATAAAATGATTTAGAGTTATAAGTAAGTAACTGACAACAATGGTAGAGCCACCTATAAATGACTTATAGTTATATGTAAGTAACTGACAACAATGGTAGAGCCACCTATAAAATGATTTTTAGTTATATGTAACTAACTGACAACAATGGTAGAGCCATCTATAAAATGATTTAGAGTTATAAGTAAGTAACCGACAACAATGGTAGAGCCACCTATAAATGACTTATAGTTATATGTAAGTAACTGACAACAATGGTAGAGCCACCTATAAAATGATTTATAGTTATATGTAACTAACTGACAACAATGTTAGAGCCACCTATAAAATGATTTTTAGTTATATGTAACTAACTGATAATGATGGTAGACCACCTACAAAACAGATTCACATTTATATGTATAACTAACTGAAACGATGGTAGAGTCACCTACAAAAAATGTTTACATTTATATGTAACCAACTGACAATAATAGTAGAATCACCTACAAAAAAGGTTTACATTTAAGTAAATATTTACATTGCAAATGTTTTTTCCTATATAACATACACTGTTTAAGCAACACATATCTATCACTGTCTAAACACAGGTTTCTGACATGTCATAAATGTTCGACACAAATTATAGTTCTTTTTTTTTGGCCAGAATAAAGAAATTTCTGAGATGATAAATAACTGTTGATAATGTTGGAGCTCACAGGCACTTCTATCCATCACCTCTTTACAGCCAGTGTTGACTGTTAGAACAAAGCAAAAAAATGGATCATCTGGGAAAACAGTGCTCCAATAAAATGGACAATTACTGATCCATGTGTTGCCCTTGTATGATAAACTACTTGACACAATTCATACTATCTCCTTATACTTACCATCTGTATCTATAAGTTCCAACAGGTGATAAACAGGGCCTTGCTGACACATAAACCCTCCTTTCCAAAGCACTGTGAACTGCAGCAGATAAGAGAATTCACTAGAAAAAAAAAGATTTTAGGACATTAATCTGTTTCTATTTCATTTATTTCCATAATCTTATTTTCCCTTCATTTATCATGATTTGTCATTATACATGTAGTTCACAAATTCAAATCCTAAAAGGTTGACAACATGACCAATATTTATTTACCGTAATTATTATCCACTGGCTTAAGAATATCATATAGTTTCAAAATCATATATCATAATTGAATGAAATATATTTCAAAATAACTGCCTTGCCTTGTAAAATGGCTCTGCAGATTCCTACTTTCTAAAGAATGAATTCCCTTTACCCACGGAAAAAGGGGAAAGTACAATTTCATTCATACTATGCACTTTCAATAGACAAAGCTTTGTTAAAACTCAGATCAGATGCTGTAATTTTTTTGTAGCTGAGCATGTTTTAACATTGGGAAAGTCAGGTAACTTTTATAGCGTTTAATTGATTCATGGATTATCTTTTCCTAACATCATCTCAGCAATATCCACAGGTCCAAACTGGTGGTGAATTTCTTAAGTTATTTCAAGTTTGCTTGTAGTGACTTACTTATTTGGGAAAATACAGAGAACATTAAAAATCTGACATCAAATAAGACAAATGACACAATGGACACTTGACAAAAATAATAATGAAGGAGACCAGTTGACTTAGAAAACAAATTGTACTGAAATGCTTAAGTCTAATGTGGTGCTTAGTTTTTTTTTTTGTCCAGAATGAACATTTACAGAGAAATCAGAGGCATGGATTAGACACAGAAGACACTGAGATTGATCACTGGTCATGTTATTTATTGCTTACCGGAGAAGAGTGGACATAAAGTTAGAGGGGAGAGCTGGAAATCTGTAAAACTTCTGAGCCTGTTTCTCTGTCTTGGGTACCTCATCTGGCCAGTATTCCATCTTAATACAACAAATGACAACTCATTTCCTGTTCAATTTTTACTGTTAAATACACTGCAGTATATTTTCTCAATAACACTAAAGAATAAATGGTAAGTGTAGAATTTTTTAGTTTAAATGCATTTCATTATTTTTGTACAACTTTCCATGATTTTTTAAGTTGATATGATTTTTATACAGACAAGTTGTGTTCTTCCTATTCCTGAGCTCTTACAAAATTTTACAGTTCTTTTCTTAAAACCAATACAGGGCTGATTTTATAGATTTTTTTTCCACTAAAACATTTAGTTTCCATCATCATCATTTTTCTTAAATCTATTCTAAGAGAATTAAGACCCTTAATGTACTGTAATTGACAAGCACTTCAGAATTACATACCAGACAGACAAGAGAGTGACAAACTCAATTGAGCATGCCAGAAGATGTAAGGAATTACATACTGTCACATGATAAACTCAGTTGAGCTTACATGTACTGGCAAATGTGAGGACTTACAGACTGTCAGAAGATAAACTCAATTGAGCTTACTTGCAAATGTGAGGACTTACATACAATCAGAAGATAAACTCAGTTGAGCATACCAGTAACTACGACGACTTACATACTGTCAGAAGATAAACTCAGTTGAGCATACCAGTAACTACGAGGACTTACATACTGTCAGAAGATAAACTCAGTTGAGCATACCAGTAACTACGAGGACTTACATACTGTCAGAAGATAAACTCAGTTGAGCATACCAGTAACTATGAGGACTTACATACTGTCAGAAGATAAACTCAGTTGAGCATACCAGTAACTATGAGGACTTACATACTGTCAGAAGATAAACTCAGTTGAGCATACCAGTAACTACGAGGACTTACATACTGTCAGAAGATAAACTCAGTTGAGCATACCAGTAACTATGAGGACTTACATACTGTCAGAAGATAAACTCAGTTGAGCATACCAGTAACTACGAGGACTTACATACTGTCAGAAGATAAACTCAGTTGAGCATACCAGTAACTATGAGGACTTACATACTGTCAGAAGATAAACTCAGTTGAGCATACCAGTAACTATGAGGACTTACATACTGTCAGAAGATAAACTCAGTTGAGCATACCAGTAACTACGAGGACTTACATACTGTCAGAAGATAAACTCAGTTGAGCATACCAGTAACTATGAGGACTTACATACTGTCAGAAGATAAACTCAGTTGAGCATACCAGTAACTATGAGGACTTACATACTGTCAGAAGATAAACTCAGTTGAGCATACCAGTAACTACGAGGACTTACATACTGTCAGAAGATAAACTCAGTTGAGCATACCAGTAACTACGAGGACTTACATACTGTCAGAAGATAAACTCAGTTGAGCATACCAGTAACTACGAGGACTTACATACTGTCAGAAGATAAACTCAGTTGAGCATACCAGTAACTACGAGGACTTACATACTGTCAGAAGATAAACTCAGTTGAGCATACCAGTAACTACGAGGACTTACATACTGTCAGAAGATAAACTCAGTTGAGCATACCAGTAACTATGAGGACTTACATACTGTCAGAAGATAAACTCAGTTGAGCATACCAGTAACTATGAGGACTTACATACTGTCAGAAGATAAACTCAGTTGAGCATACCAGTAACTACGAGGACTTACATACTGTCAGAAGATAAACTCAGTTGAGCATACCAGTAACTACGAGGACTTACATACTGTCAGAAGATAAACTCAGTTGAGCCATACATACTAGAGATACTGGAGGCTGATCAGGAATGTCTCTGAACAGAACATAGGCCAGTGTGTCCTCGTACCCTGGCCCCTTAAGGTCACAGGGAAACTTCATCAAGCAGCCTGAGTTCTCAAGAATGTCAAGAAGTAAATCCACCTGAAACATATAATTTACTGAAACATATAAACTAATTCAGTGAAATGAGTAATTCACTGAAATATATAAAACTAATTGACTGATAGTGTAAAGTAATTTATTAAAAAATATTGTTAAAGTATATTAAAGGCATAATAAAATTGACAAGTATAAGTATATTTTGATTATTTGTATTTATTTTTACAACAGGTGCTATGCCACCAAAAGCTCACCACTCTCATTATGTATACATAAGTGTTGACACTCAATATACGGAATGGAAGTCACTATACCCATGTATAACATTCTGTATCAGAAAATGCAAGGTCAAGTGTTCTTGTTTAGAATGTAGATATCACCATTTGGACAGTACTATACATATTCAAATGCCTAGGTAAATTTGTATGACTAGAAATTTTCAAATGTACACACTTGCATAGCCCCAAAACAGGCATGGGAATATGGCTTGGCTAATCCCTGCATCTTCTTTAGTAAAGTATGTGAAAATAACGATTTTAACTATTACCTGGTCAATCCCAATGAATTCAGTAAAGTATCAGGTTTGTGTAAATTTCATGCTTTTAAATGTTACCTGGCCAATCTAAATGAAGTCAAAAAAGTATTTGATTTAAAGCCTTTAACTGTTACCTGGATATATATAATCCCAATGAATTCAGTAGAGTACCAGGTGTGTATAAAATTGAATGCTTTTAACTGTTACCTGCTTAATTCCAATGAATTCAGTGTAATACCAGGTATGTATCAAATTGAAGGGTTTTAACTGTTACCTGCTTAATCCCAATGAATTCAGTGTAGTACCAGGTATGTATAAAATTGAAGGCTTTTAACTGTTACCTGCTTAATCCCAATGAATTCAGTAAAGTACCAGGTATGTGTAAAATTGAAGGCTTTTAACTGTTACCTGCTTAATCCCAATGAATTCAGTGTAATACCAGGTATGTGTAAAATTGAAGGCTTTTAACTGTTATCTGCTTAATCCCAATGAATTCAGTAAAGTACCAGGTATGTGTAAAATTGAAGGCTTTTAACTGTTACCTGCTTAATCCCAATGAATTCAGTAAAGTACCAGGTATGTGTAAAATTGAAGGCTTTTAACTGTTACCTGCTTAATCCCAATGAATTCAGTGTAATACCAGGTATGTGTAAAATTGAAGGCTTTTAACTGTTACCTGCTTAATCCCAATGAATTCAGTAAAGTACCAGGTATGTGTAAAATTGAAGGCTTTTAACTGTTACCTGCTTAATCCCATTGAATTCAGTGTAATACCAGGTATGTGTAAAATCGAAGGCTTTTAACTGTTATCTGCTTAATCCCAATGAATTCTGTAAAGTATCAGGTATGTATAAAATTGAAGGCTTTTAACTGTTACCTGGTTAATATGATCACCATCTTCCATTTTTCTGGGTCTCATCTACAACAGACCAATATTACTTGACTTTTACCAAGAATTTTAAGACATAAAATAGTTACCTTGACATAAAGTTCCAACCCCTTCATTGTTACCTGAAACAGAAATAATTCAGGAGAAATATACATAGAATCATAATACATGTATACTTTTCCTGAATTGACCTGTCAATGATTCTTTTGGCAATCCTTTTAGACCTTCTGTATACAATCTTGTATATAACTGAATTATTGCTATATTTATATATACATGTAACCTCAGTATCTCAAATCATCAGATATTTTTTAGCTTTTTCTCGACCCCATCAAGTTTGAGATAATAAGGTTTGACTTTATTTATCATACTCTTCATTCATAATAATTCTTCAAAATTAGTCCACATAATGATCCACTTTGATAATCTGACACAAATAAGTGGTTTATTGACTGCTCCTTACATTCATAGATTGCCCAAATATAATAGTGAAGTCCTCTTTCCTGTAGAAGGGCACGGATATCCCTAGTCCCTTTATGAACCCTGTTTTATCTGGAGGGGTCTCCATGATCCCAGTCATGAGCGTCTCCAGGACCATGAAGCTCGTCATGGATGGATAACCTCGGATGTCTGGGTAAAAGGTTCCCATGCCCTGCAAAAAAAAGTTAAGAATTGTAACAAATTATATTCTCCACCCCATTGGACCAACCACTAAAACATAAACTGTTAAACCTCAAACATAAAATAGGTAGAAAGATGCTTCCAGATTTATGGAATTTGAGATAAGATTGTAACTCTGAAAACAACTGGGTTTTAAAATTAATAAAAATTAAAGCTATTTCAGTTTTTTTCTGTACAGTTATGCATGTTTCCTATAATACACTAATAAAAATTACATAAAACTGCAAATTCAGTATGTAACTGCATTGTAGCATAAATGGAATTTTCAAAGAAAATGCAGACATAACAGGAAGTGAAATCAAAGCTATTTACAGTACACTAAAGTAATATTTCATTTTCTTCAGAGCTAACACGATCTCACCAATTTACATCACTGATCTCATCAAGTTATGACAATGATCTCACCAATTTACAACACTGATCTCATCAAGTTATGACAATGATCTCACCAATTTACAACACCAACCTCATCAAGTTATGACAATGATCTCACCAATTTACAACACTGATCTCATCAAGTTACAATAATGACCTCACCAATTTACAACACTGATCTCATGAAGTTACAACAATGATCTCACCAATTTACAACACTGATCTCATCAAGTTATGACAATGATCTCACCAATTTACAACACCAATCTCATCAAGTTATGACAATGATCTCACCAATTTACAACACTGATCTCATCAAGTTACAATAATGACCTCACCAATTTACAACACCGATCTCATGAAGTTACAACAATGATCTCACCAATTTACAACACTGATCTCATCAAGTTATGACAATGATCTCACCAATTTACAACACCGATCTCATCAAGTTATGACAATGATCTCACCAATTTACAACACTGATCTCATCAAGTTATGACAATGATCTCACCAATTTACAACACCGATCTCATCAAGTTATGACAATGATCTCACCAATTTACAACACTGATCTCATCAAGTTATGACAATGATCTCACCAATTTACAACACCGATCTCATCAAGTTACAACAATGACCTCACCAATTTACAACATTGATCTCATCAAGTTACAACGATGACCTCACCAATTTACAACATTGATCTCATACAGTTATGACAATGATCTCACCAATATATAACACTGACCTCATAAAGTTACGACAATGAACTCATCAATTTACGACACTGATCTCACCAAGTTATGACATAAGAACAATGATCTCACCAGTTTACAACACTGATCTCATGTTCATCAACTTGACACTGATTTCATCAAGTTACAACAACAATCTCACCAATTTACTACATAAATCTCAAAGATCTCACCAAGTTACAACAATGATCTCACCCGTTCATGCCTGAGGCTCAGAATTTGAATCATCTCCTTGTATGGATCCTTCATGTGCAGGTTGGACAGAGGAGGTTCATCCACAGCTTTTATCAATTGTTTCAGATAGCCTAAATTTCCTTTAAATTTATTAGGCTTAAACTTAAGTTCGATGAGCTTCTTGATGGTGGCAGAGTAATGGAACGTGTGCCATGGGTAATGGTCCTGTAGATCTGATATCAGATTTTCAATGGCATCAAAACACTGGTCTTCCTTACCCTTAAATAATAAAAACACAATTGAAATCCAAAGGAAATTTTTCTCTTTCAAGGAAAAGGTAAAGGAATAGATCTGTCAATTTTGAATGTTTCCTGTAAATTTTGAGAATAAGTTCCTATATTTTGACCCTTTATTAAATTTACCCCTCTATATAGCTATGTAAGATGATGTTGAGTTTCTAAACATAAACAGGTACTGTAGATTCCTAAATATACGCGAGGAAATAATTATCGCATAATTACGCGAGAAGCACCACTCGCGAAATAAAATTACTCGCTTTTATTTTTTGTGGTGCTGAAATCAATGTAAAATCCCTTGGTCAATCGTCCACTCGCGAATTATTGTTCTCGCGATTTGACGTTGAAGAGCCATTTCGCGATAATAAGTACTCGCGAAAAATAAGGAATCTACAGTATATAATTTGTACACACATTTAAATTATTAAATTATTTGAATTCAATCCCTGTAACCTTGACCAAATAAATTCACTGAGGGTCAAGGGCATTCAAATGTGCAATATACTTGACTCCTGCAAACCTTTTTAAATCTATGTTTAATTTTTTCCTCTATTTTTCTGTAACACATCAAACAAAATATCAGGCAGAACATTTCATATTTTTGACTTAACTACAAGAAAGAAGTATCATTCATTAATTCAATTTAAAGTATTTTGGATTTAAATTCAACTATACTTAAACCTCTTGTATTAACCCCATTGGTCAGAAATAAGGAATGAATTTACTAAGTGTAATATATACTGACCAATAACAAATACTGGAGAAGCTGAGGGGAACCATCCTTATCTTTTTTCCTGGCAATGATTTTGTCCACGTGATGAATGAACTTCCTGCCCGCTGTGTACACAATTTGGTCATGAAATCTGAACTCGTTCAACCTCCATTTATCCTTGATTCTGAATAATTGTAGAAAACAGTTTACTATACAGGCACCTGGTGTGTTATTTTTCAGTTTATATATAGGTAAAAAAAATAGAGGACCTGTGAGCACTGTTCAAAATGATACTGAGTATAATGACAAAGTCCATGTTTTGCTATGGGAAAGCTCAAATATCAGAACATAAAATAGGAGGTGCACAATGACAGGGGGTTGTCCCTAAGACCCAGGGGCCAAGGAATTTCCCTGCCTATACTGATGTAATCCCCTGGTTATTCTGGTATTCTCCCTCAATCACCTGCTTGGGGAGGAGCCCCAGACACCCTTCTACCCTTTTTTAATATCCTTGCTATTCCAATTTTTAGGGACAACCATGGACAATGGCACTTAATGTAATGAAGATTCTTTGAAAGTCTCAATGTATTTATTCAGAGGTATAGGAAGATACTGGTATATATCAAAGAAAAAATGACAGTGTGCATGTTTTGCTATAGAGAACCCCAAAATATGCGTCTGACCTGCTTTCCAAGCCTTGTTATCTCAAAGTTGATGGGATTGAAAAAAAAGAACAAGGAACCAAGATACTGAGTTTAATATACATAAAGAGAAAGTGGTTGAAACTGCCAACTCATTTCAATATGTCCAATGTATTTAAGTTATCAAAGTTCAACCATATTTCTACATTTCAAACATCTGACTATTTTAGTGGTATTGTGCAATAAATTTCAAATTTTTTCCAAGGCTATTAAGGAAGTTAAAATTCTTAAATAAGTCAGAAAGCACAAAGAAAATAGGACCAACAAAAACTTTTATTAATTTTTCAAAAAGGTTCATATGAGATATGATATCAATATAAATAAATAATCTAGCTAAGTTAGTGTAAATCATCTTTAATCTGCTTATGAGTTATGTAACAGTGTTATAGTAAAATCAAAATTGCTTTCAGTGCTATCGGTTGAGTATTATTCAAACAACAGAAGAACATGTTGAAACTTTTCATTTTGATGCTTATAATTCCTTCATCAAAATTGCCTTATATAAAAATATAAAATTACTACAGAGAATTTACTGTTGATCACAATCCACCAACAAGACCACTAGCTCTAGAAATTGTAAACTTACTCCTTGTTCAGTTCTTCTGCAAGACTCTCCATAGCAACAGTCAATGTGTCCTTGACCCTGTGTATAATGTCCTTCAATTTATGTTCTGTTGCAGGTGAAGCATCATATCCAGGATTGCAGATCATAAAACCTGTCTCTGGGTACTAAAGTATAGAGACAACATAGATCAAAGAGCAAATCATAAAACTTGTCTCTGGATACTAAAGTATAGAGACAACATTGATCAAAGAGCAAATCATAAAACCTGTCCCTGGGTACTAAAGTATAGAGACAACATTGATCAAAGAGCAAATCATAAAGCCTGTGTCTAGATACTCAAGTATAGAGACAACATTGATCAAAGAGCAAATCATAAAACTTGTCTCTGGATACTAAAGTACAGAGACAACATTGATCAAAGAGCAAATCATAAAACTTGTCTCTGGTTACTTAAGTATAGAGACAACATTGATCAAAGAGCAAATCATAAAATTTGTCTCTGGTTACTTAAGTATAGAGACAACATTGATCAAAGAGCAAATCATAAAACTTGTCTCTGGTTACTTAAGTATAGAGACAACATTGATCAAAGAGCAAATCATAAAACTTGTCTCTGGATACTAAAGTATAGAGACAACACTGATCAAAGAGTAAATCATAAACTTGCTCTCTGGATACTAAAGTATAGAGACAACATTTATCAAAGAGCAAATCATAAAACTTGTCTCTGGATACTAAAGTATAGAGACAACACTGATCAAAGAGTAAATCATAAACTTGCTCTCTGGATACTAAAGTATAGAGACAACATTTATCAAAGAGCAAATCATAAAGCCTGTCTCTAGATACTCAAGTATAGAGACAACATTGATCAAAGAGCAAATCATAAAATTTGTCTCTGGATACTAAAGTATAGAGACAACATTGATCAAAGAGCAAATCATAAAACTTGTCTCTGGATACTAAAGTATAGAGACAACACTGATCAAAGAGTAAATCATAAAACTTGTCTCTGGATACTAAAGTATAGAGACAACACTGATCAAAGAGTAAATCATGAAACTTGTCTCTGGATACTAAAGTATAGAGACACCACTGATCTGGATACTAAAGTATAGAGACAACATTGATCAAAGAGCAAATCATAAAATTTGTCTCTGGATACTAAAGTATAGAGACAACATTGATCAAAGAGCAAATCATAAAACTTGTCTCTGGTTACTTAAGTATAGAGACAACATTGATCAAAGAGCAAATCATAAAATTTGTCTCTGGATACTAAAGTATAGAGACAACATTGATCAAAGAGCAAATCATAAAACTTGTCTCTGGTTACTTAAGTATAGAGACAACATTGATCAAAGAGCAAATCATAAAACTTGTCTCTGGATACTAAAGTATAGAGACAACATTTATCAAAGAGCAAATCATAAAACTTGTCTCTGGATACTAAAGTATAGAGACAACACTGATCAAAGAGTAAATCATAAAACTTGTCTCTGGATACTAAAGTATAGAGACAACATTAATCAAAGAGCAAATCATAAAACATGTCCCTTAATTTTAAAAGTGAAAGTCAACAATTAGAAAACAGTGAAAAAATATGAATTTGTCATACAGTAAAACTATAGGTTTGAAATTTCGGTTAAAAGAAATTTAAGAATCCCCTTTTCACTACGTTTCTTATAAAGAATATAAGTAAAGAAAATCTGAGGCCCCAGTGACTTTCATATGACAGTTTTACTGAAAGCATGAACTGACAATAAGTATAAAGATGCTGCAGTAATAATTTGTGGTGTACCTGACTAACGATCGACAGGATCGTGCTGGCAATCTTCTGGATGTAAGATGGTGTCTTATCAGAGAACGGGAGAATAACCACTCCTCCATTGCTCAGGACCAGTCCCTCAAATCTCTGAAAAAATTAAGAAAAGTTTGATTTGCACTGAAAAAAAGAAGACATTCATTATATTCTTAACCTTGGAGGCAAAAATTCTACACGTGGTCAAATGACCATTTCAATGCCTGTAATGTACTACATGTACAATATTTAAAAAAATCCTAATGGAATAATGAATCATGAAACAGGAGATTCCTTAAAATGTTTAGATTTCAAAATTATAAAAACTTATGACATTATTATATAAATATTGCATGTAGTTGAGTGTAACATTGAACATTTTCACCCCTCGAAAACCATTGTCAACCGAGGTGCAGCATCATGTGAAAATCAGGGTGAAAATTTTCTATCTATCAGATTGATGGTAACTGACTACTTGACCTTGGGTTTACTTACTAATTTTCTATCTCTATCAGATTGATGGTGACTGACTACTTGACCTTTGGTTTACTTACTGATTCTCTGTCAATCTCTATCAGATTGATGGTGACTGACTACTTGACCTTGGGTTTACTTACTGATTCTCTATCAATCTCTATCAGATTGATGGAAACTGACTACTTGACCTTGGGTTACTTACTGATTCTCTATCAGATTAATGGTGACTGACTGACCTTGGGTTTACTTACTGATTATCTGTCTATCTCTATCAGATTGATGGTGACTGAGGAATCAGCCTTGGGTTTATTTACTGATTCTCTGTCTATCTCTATCAGATTGATGGTGACTGAGGAGTCAGTCTTGGGTTTACTTACTGATTCTCTATCTCTATCAGATTAATGGTGACTGACTGACCTTGGGTTTACTTACTGATTATCTGTCTATCTCTATCAGATTATTGGTAACTGAGGAGTCAGCCTTGGGTTTACTTACTGATTTTTGGTCTATCTCTATCAGATTAATGGTGACTGAGGAGTCAGCTTTGGGTTTCCAATCCAGCCATGTCTGAACCCCTTTTCCCGAGCTTGGTTTGTTTGTAATTCTTTCCCCTAGACTCTTATTTCCTCCCTCATTCAGAATGACCACCTTGTATTTATCAAGATTTATCCATGCATTTCCTGTCTGATCCACTGAAAAGGAAAGAACATACATAATGATCATGTATGCATGGTTATTTTTGTCCTTTCGCACTCGCATCAATTTAGCTCCATTTTAAATGCACACAGTTGTGTTAAGGAGATAATGTTTTTTTCTTTTGATTTTTGACATTTTAAATTCACCCACTTGCAATTAGAGTGAAAGGAAAAAAATAAAATAGGGGTGAAAATTTCACTATATACAATAGCTGTTTAGGGTAAACAAGAAGTCTATGAGCCAATGCTCACTAATAATACCCCCGCTCTGATGTGAATACACAAGTTCATTTTTGGACAAGCACAGGGATAAACAAGAAGTTGACATCAGATTCATAGAAAAATGAATTCCACCATAGGACATGCCTAAACAAAGAGTGGGCTAAACTTTCAAGAATCTGCAAAAAGTAGTTGCTGAGAAATCTGCAACAAAAATTTGTAATGTATGGTACGGACAGACGTATGGATAAACAGGAAGTTGACATCAGTTTCGTACAAAAATGAATCCCGCCATATAACATGCCTAAACAAAGAGTGTATTAAAATTTCAAGCATCTGTGATGAGGAATTACTGAGAAAACTGCGACCAAAATTTTTTATGTATGGTACGGACAGATGCACAGATAAACAGGAAGTTGACATCAGATTCTCACAAAAATGAATCCCACCATATGGCATGCCTAAACAAAGAGTGTGCTAAACTTTCAAGTATCTACGATGAATAATTGCTGAGAAAACTGCAACCAAAATTTGATATGTATGGTACAAACAGATGCACGGATAAACAGGAAGTTGACATCTGATTCTCACAAAAATGAATCTGACCATATGGCATGCCTCAACAAAGAGTGTGCTAAAATTTCAAGCATCAGCGATAAGTAATTGCTGAGAAAACTGTGACCAAAATTTGTTATGAATGGTACGGACAGACGTACGGATAAGCAGAAAGTTGACATCAGATTCTCACAAAAATGAATCCCACCATACGGCATGCCTAAACAAAGTTGTGCTAAAATTTCAAGCATCAGCAATAAGTAATTGCTGAGAAAACTGCGACCAAAATTTGATATGTATGGTACGGACAGATGCACGGATAAACAGGAAGTTGACATCAGATTCTCACAAAAATGTATCCCACCATATGGCATGCCTAAACAAAGATTGTGCTAAAATTTCAAGCATCAGCGATGAGTAATTGCTGAGAAAACTGCGACCAAAATTTGTTACGGACAGACACACAGACAGACAGACGGACAGACAGACATACAAGGGTAAAACAGTATACCCCCCTCTCCTTCGGAGCGGGGGTATAATTATGATTCTCTATTGGGATTCCTTGCTTTAATCTGCTGATTATTAATTGTACTACATGGTAGGAAAATCCTAAGACATTTCATGTGTATAATTAACTACCTACTTGTAGGAATATCCTAAGATACGTGTACAATAATAGGAGTATTGTAAGATATGTGTACAATTAATTAACTACCTACATGTACTTGTAGGAGTATTGTAAGATATGTGTTCAATTAATTAACTAACTACATGTACTTGTAGGAGTATTGTAAGATATGTGTACAATTAATTAACCACCTACATGTACTTGTAGGAGTATTGTAAGATATGTGTACAATTAATCAACTACCTACATGTACTTGTAGGAGTATTCTAAAATATGTGTACAATTAATTATAAACTACTTGCATGTACTTGTATGAGTATCCTAAGATATTTGTACAATTAACCCTATCTGCTTGAAGGATTATCCTAACAGATGTGTACAATTGACCACCTACTTGAAGAAGTATCCTAGGATATGTGTAAATTTAACTATCTACTTGTAGGAGTATTCTAAGATATATGTACAGTTAACAACCTAGTTGTAGGAGTATCCTAAGATATTTGTAAAATTAACTAACTACATGCAGGAGTATTCTAAGATATCTGTACAATTAACTACCTACATGTACGATTACCCTTATATATGTGTACAATTAACTACCTACATGTAGGATTACCTTATTTATGTATACAATTACCTACATGTAGGAGTACCCTTAGATATGTGTACAATTGACTATCTACATTGTTCAAGTACCTTCATATATATGTACAATGTACCATCTACATTGTTAGAGTATCCTTGGATATGTGTACAGTGTACTATCTACATTGTAGGAATATACTTAGATATGTGTACAATGTACTATCTACATTGTTAGAGTATCCTTGGATATGTGTACAATGTACTATCTACATTGTTAGAGTATCCATGGATATGTGTACAATGTACTATCTACTTTGTAGGAGGATCCTTGGATATGTTTACTATATACATTACTATATACAGTTAACTATTTACATTGTTTGAGTATTCATATATATGTGTACAATGTATACTTATTTAGTGTTAAAGCATTCTTGTACAACTATTACATGTACTACAATATCAGAGCATCCATGGATATGTGCACCATGAACTATTTATTGGCATATCACGTGAGTTCAATATACTATGTGCAATGTAGGAATATACTTAAATATGAGTACAAAGTACTTCATTCTTTGGTTCTTTGATACAGTATCTCTTAATTTTTTGAATATAATTATTATTTCACACAATGTTCCAGTTGTAATATCCCAGATATCCCAAATATCCCAGTTGTATAGAACAATAATTTAGTCAGGACAGATATTCCTTAGTGGATATAATGCCTGTCTTGATGGAGGAATATCCTCAGTGGAAGAATGCTTGATTTGACTGGATGAGTAAACCTGAATAGATGAACATGCTGACTCTGACCTGAGGATACCCCTGATTGGAGAGAATGCTGATTTTGACTAGAGGAGTTTAACTAAGTGGATAGAATGCTTACTTTGACTGGATGAAAATCCCTCAGAGATAGAATGCTTACTTTGACTGGATAAGAATCCCTCAGTGGATAGAATGCTTACTTTGACTGGAGGAGAATCCCTCAGTGGATAGATTGCTTACTTTGACTGGATGAGAATCCCTCAGTGGATAGATTGCTTACTTTGATTGGACGAGAATCCCTCAGTGGATAGAATGCTTACTTTGACTGGAAGAAAATCCCTCAGTGGATAGAATGCTTACTTTGAGTGGATGAGAATCCCTAGTGGATAGTGCTTATTTTGACTGGATGAGAATTCCTCAGTGGATAGAATGCTTACTATGACTGGACGAGAATCCCTCAGTGGATAGAATGCTAACTTTGACTGGACGAGAATCCCTCAGTGGATAGATTGCCTACTTTGAGTGGACGAGAATCCCTAGTGGATAGAATGCTTACTTTGACTGGATGAGAATCCCTCAATGGATAGATTGCTTACTTTGATTGGATGAGAATCCCTCAGTGGATAGAATGCTTTCTTTAACTGGATGAGAATCCCTCAGTGGATAGAATGCTTACTTTGACTGGATAAGAATCCCTCAGTGGATAGAATGCTTTCTTTGACTGGACGAGAATTCCTCAGTGGATAGAATACTTACTTTGACTGGATAGAATACTCACTTTTAGTAGAAAAGAATCCCTCAGTGGATAGAATGCTTACTTTGACTGGATGAGAATCCCTCAATGGATAGATTGCTTACTTTGAGTAGAAAATAATCCCTCAGTGGTTAGAATGCTTACTTTGACTGGAAGAGAAACCCTCAATGGATAGAAAGCTTACTCTGATTGGATGAGAATCCCTCAGTGGATAGAATGCTTACTTTGACTGGACAAGAATCCCTAAGTGGATAGAATGCTTACTTTGATTGGACAAGAATCCTTCAGTGGATAGAATGCTTACTTTGACTGGACGAGAATCCCTTAGTGGGTAGAATGCTTACTTTGATTGGACAAGAATACCTCAGAGGACAGAATGCTTACTTTGACTGGAGGAGAATCCCTCAGTGGATAGAATGCTTACTTTGACTGGATGAGAATCCCTCAGTAGATAGAATGCTTACTTTGAACAAGACGAGAATCCCTCAGTGAATAGAATGCTTACTTTGTTTGAAAGAGAATACCTCAGTGGATAGAATGCTTACTTTGATTGGACAAGAATACCTCAGAGGACAGAATGCTTACTTTGACTGGAGGAGAATCCCTCAGTGGATAGAATGCTTACTTTGACTGGATGAGAATCCCTCTGTAGATAGAATGCTTACTTTGAACAGGACGAGAATCCCTCAGTGAATAGAATGCTTACTTTGTTTGAAAGAGAATACCTCAGTGGATAGAATGCTTACTTTGATTGGACAAGAATACCTCAGAGGACAGAATGCTTACTTTGACTGGAGGAGAATCCCTCAGTGGATAGAATGCTAACTTTGATAGAATGAGAATTCTTCAGTGGATAGAATGCTAACTTTGACTGGATGAGAATCCCTCAGTGAATTGAATGCTTACTTTGAACTGGACGAGAATACCTCAGTGAATAGAATGCTTACTTTGACTGGAAGAGAATCCCTCAGTAGATAGAATGCTCACTTTGACTGGATGAGAATCCCTCAGTGGATAGAATGCTTACTTTGATTGGAGAAGAATCCTTCAGTGAATAGAATGCTTACTTTGATTGGAGGAGAATACCTCAGTGGATAGAATGCTTACTTTGATTGGATCCCTGAGCCAGAGCAGAGATTGAGTGGTTATTGTAGGTCTCTGTTGATGGAGATATCAGGGGACAAGCTTTGAAGCTGAATAGTCCAAGAGATTTTTCTGTCAAAGCAAATCACAGAATTCTGTATAGATTAAAATTATTCCAAGATCATTTTTCTTATGAAAGATAAACACAAATTTTAAATATTAGAAGAAAGTTAACAATCATATCAGTTCTCCTAAATTATTTGGGTTGTTTAAATATTTGATAAGTAGAAAAACACAGCAAATGTAAATAAATAAAATTAAAATACTTATTGATGGGACCCATCAACAAGTACTTGGGATGAGAAAATTCTGGAATGAATTTTCAAAAATTGTTTCCTTGAAGCTAAAAAAGTTTTGAGTTGGGCCATTTTCAACCAGTCAGTTGGGAGTGGGCAAACAAACATTTTTTCAAAGATAGCCTCATTCATTTTTTTTCTCTTTGTTTTTTTTTTGTTTTTTTTGTTTTTTTTGTTTTTTTTGTTTTTGTTTTTGTTTTTTTAATTTAATTTTATTTTATTATTTTATTTCATTTTATTTTTATTTTTTTAAATTTTGCCATCACTAAAGGTTTTGCTTGGTTATAATAATTTACAGAAGTTACTTTTTATTTTTATTTTTTTTTTTTAAAGAAATTTAAGAATGTGAAATACAAATCAAAGGGAGAAATGTTGAAGGTTATATTTCTTTTTTATGCATGTTATCCGATAATGTCCAAGTTAAGTAACTCTTGATTTTTTTTTGTAAACAGAGACACAGGAAATCTTGTAACTGGCAGTATTTTTCTGATTGCCCAGTTACCTACTTAAAACTGAGCTTTGTTTCAATCATATTGCTAATTTCACATTATACTCCAGTAATTAAGACTACCTAAGTAAATATACATGTACTGATTAATAAAAAAAAGTATGTCACAGGAAAGGAGAAAATGACTGGACTTGAATCTGAATGCAGGACCCCTGCCTCATCAGTCAGCACACCTGGAGTAATGGTAATGTGTAATGGTAATGCATTGTAATCATTACATTTTTTCAAAGTAATGGGATGTAGTGTGTAATGGACCCATCTTTCAATTACAAGTAATTGTAATGTTATGCATTACTTTAAAAAAAAGTCGATAACAACCAATGAGTCTACTGCCTTACACTTTCTTTCTAACGTTATCCTGCTTAAAAAATAGCAGAACTTATCCAAAAAATAGTAAAAGTAAGACAGTACATATTATGACCAACTAGAGACTAGTGATAATTATTACCTAACTTGAGTGGAATGGCTCGGCACTGAGTGGACGACATCTGACAATCTCGTAGATTAACTCGTCCATCTGCGATGTAATGGACGGAACGTTCAGTCACTTCTGTGCAGCCTTTCATTGAAATCTAAAATTTGGAATAAATCAAAATAAGGCATTTGTACCATAATGCTCACTTGTCAAGTGAGTAAATTAACAGACTGAATTCATTTACTTGAGTGTTTGTAAATTATGCAAAAGTTCAATATTTGACTCCCTGCTTTTTGGTATTACAGAAATTCAGTATCTTTCAGTATTGACTTTTTATTTTGTTTAGTAACTTACTCTCTGCTTTGTGGTATTATATGAGTTCAGTATCTGACTCTCTGCTTTGTGGTATTTTATGAGTTCAGTATCTGACTCTCTGCTTTGTGGTATTATATGAGTTCAGTATCTGACTCTCTGCTTTGTGGTATTATATGAGTTCAGTATCTGACTCTCTGCTTTGTGGTATTTTATGAGTTCAGTATCTGACTCTCTGCTTTGTGGTATTATATGAGTTCAGTATCTGACTCTCTGCTTTGTGGTATTTTACCAGTTCAGTATCTGACTCTCTGCTTTGTGGTATTATATGAGTTCAGTATCTGACTCTCTGCTTTGTGGTATTTTACGACTCCAGTATCTGACTCTCTGCTTTGTGGTATTATATGAGTTCAGTATCTGACTCTCTGCTTTGTGGTATTATATGAGTTCAGTATCTGACTCTCTGCTTTGTGGTATTATATGAGTTCAGTATCTGACTCTCTGCTTTGTGGTATTATATGAGCCCAGTAACTGACTCTCTGCTTTGTTGTATTATATGAGTTCAGTATCTGACTCTCTGCTTTGTTGTATTATATGAGTTCAGTATCTGACTCTCTGCTTTGTGGTATCATATGAGTTCAGTATCTGACTCTCTGCTTTTTGGTATTATATGAGTTCAGTATCTGACTCTCTGCTTTGTGGTATCATATGAGTTCAGTATCTGACTCTCTGCTTTGTGGTTTTATATGAGTTCAGTATCTGACTCTCTGCTTTGTGGTATTATATGAGTTCATTATCTGACTCTCTGCTTTGTGGTATTTTATGAGTTCAGTATCTGACTCTCTGCTTTGTGGTATTATATGAGTTCAGTATCTGACTCTCTGCTTTGTGGTATTTTGCGAGTTCAGTATCTGACTCTCTGCTTTGTGGTATTATATGAGTTCAGTATCTGACTCTCTGCTTTGTGGTATTATATGAGTTCAGTATCTGACTCTCTGCTTTGTTGTATTTTACGAGTTCAGTATCTGACTCTCTGCTTTGTGGTATTATATGAGTTCAGTATCTGACTCTCTGCTTTGTTGTAATTTACGAGTCCAGTATCTGACTCTCTGCTTTGTGGTATTATATGAGTTCAGTATCTGACTCTCTGCTTTGTGGTATCAGATGAGTTCAGTATCTGACTCTCTGCTTTGTGGTATTATATGAGTTCAGTATCTGACTCTCTGCTTTGTGGTTTTATATGAGTTCAGTATCTGACTATCTGCTTTGCGGTATTATATGAGTTCAGTATCTGACTCTCTGCTTTGTGGTATTATATGAGTTCAGTATCTGACTCTCTGCTTTTGGTATTTTACGAGTTCAGTATCTGACTCTCTGCTTTGTGGTATTATATGAGTTCAGTATCTGACTCTCTGCTTTGTGGTATCAGATGAGTTCAGTATCTGACTCTCTGCTTTGTGGTATTATATGAGTTTGGTATCTGACTCTCTGCTTTGTGGTATTAAATATGTTCAGTATGTGACTCTCTGCTTTGTGGTATTTTACCAGTTCAGTATCTGACTCTCTGCTTTGTGGTATTATATGAGTTCAGTATCTGACTCTCTGCTTTGTGGTATTTTACGACTCCAGTATCTGACTCTCTGCTTTCTGGTATCAGATGAGTTCAGTATCTGACTCTCTGCTTTGTGGTATTATACGAGTTTGGTATCTGACTCTCTGCATTGTGGTATTAAATATGTTCAGTATCTGACTCTCTGCTTTGGGGTGTTATTACAGTTCAGTATTTAGCTTTTTGCTTTGTGGTATTATATTAGTTCAGTATTTAACTTTTTGCTTTGTGGTATTATATAAGTTCAGTATTAACTTTTTGCTCTGTGGTATTACACAAGTTCAGTATTTGACTTTTTGCTTCGAGGTATTATATAAGTTCAGTATTTGACTCTGCTTTGTGATATTACACAAGTTCAGTATCTGATCACTCTCTGCTTTTAGGTATTACACTAGTTCAGTATTTTACTTTTTGTTTTGTGGTGTTATTAGGTGTTATTTATCTGACTCTCTACTTACTGCTGTAATCTCATGTAAGTTCTGCACAACCCAGTAAATCCCAAAATCTGTGATGTTACAGCAGCCTAAATAATTCAACAGATAAACATAAAATTCAGAAAGAATTTCACTACAGAAAAACTGCTGAATTGCAAACAGTAGAATGATTATGATTTATTGAATTAAAGACAATTGGTATAATTTTATGTAGTTGGCAAGGTAATAATGAAGAAAAGTTTTTTTATGTGAGAATCAGCATCGTCTTAAGCCATGGTTAGGAGTCCACTTAAAGCTCTCTCCTACCCGTGGCTACTTGATTACATTAAGTCTCATAGTCTTGTTTAATAAAGCCTTATGTGTGACAGCGTATAATAATCCATTCAAAATAATTGTGTATATTGCAACTGAATTTAATGAGAAACAACAAATGTTGTGTAAACTGGATTGGATAATGAAAGATCACATCACAATATGCTTTACCTGCATTGGTCAATATTTTAATGAACTAAAAAAAATTCTCAGATGGGTAAAAAAGTGGCAGAAAATTGAAAAGTTCTACTAGTATATGCATCAAAGTCAATCTAGTGTATTTTGTACTGGGATTTTGTTACATAAGTAAGATGTGGTAAGTCAATTTTGTGAATTTTGTACTGGAAGTTTTTATATTAGTATGATGTGGTTAAGTTAATCTTTTGTATTTTGTACTAGGAGTTTGTAATAACATCTGTGATTGAATTCAGTCCTTACCGTTGAGACTAAGATAAGTAAGATAAGATGCAGTAAGTCAATCTTGTGTATTTTGTACTGGGAGTCTGTAATAACATCTGTGATTGATTTCTGTCCGTACCGTTGAGGTTAAGTAAAGTAAGATGTGGTAAGTCAACCTTAAGTATTTTGTACTGTAGGTGTACAATAACATCTGTGATTGATTTCAGTCCTTACCGTTGAGGTTAAGTAAAGTAAGATGCAGTAAGTCAATCTTGTGTATTTTGTACTGTAGGTGTTTAATAACATCTGTGATTGATTTCAGTCCTTACCATTTAGGTTTAGTAATTAAAGTAAGATGTGGTAAGTCAATCTTGTGTATTTTGAACTGGGAGTCTGTAATAACATCTGTGATTGATTTCAGTCCTTACCGTTGAGGTTTAGTAAAGTAAGATGTGGTAGATCAACCTTTCTCACTCCAAGCAAGTCAAAGAACATGTCCGTGAGCTGTTCTATTCCACTGAGGTTTAATTGAGTGATTATACTCTGACTGCTAAGCGTCTCCTTCCATAAGCTGCTCTGCAATGTCATGCTTATCTCATTATACAAGTGGACATGTATATTATAGTATAAGAGGGAACTTCTGTATCAAATGAAAATTTAAAAGGCAATCAAACATAGCCTAAACAGTAACCGCCCCCCCCCCCCCTTTCTTTTTCCTTTTAAGATCTTGCATAATGAGGATGTAAAAACAAAGGAACTAATAATTACATGTATTTCAATCAATTCATTGTAACCTGCGGTACAGCCCATTATTTCACATAACTGATGGACACAAATCTGAAAGCCATTTCCAAATAAAAATGTAAAACTTTTTATCTAGATCTTAGTGTGTAACATCATTTCACACTTCCCTCTCTATAATTAAAACATGTCCATTTTGTATTTGCTAACCTGCCGTCCCTTACAAACTTAAAATCAAATTTTATAAATGTGCTACATTTCTAAACTTTTAAGTTTAATATACATAAAATGTAAGTATGCTGAAAAAAATAGAGATCAAATTTAATAGGGCTATACAGAAAAACATGCTTATAGCAAACATGCTTATAATGAATTGAAGCTTACAGTGAAGTGATTTTCACTCCCCATGGCTTAAAAATATACTTCGCTATAAGCGTGTTTTACTGTATTACTTTCCATAAGAATTGAAAAAAAGAATGTATGGCTCAATACTTCAAAATGATAAATACGTATATATATATATATATATATTTGTACCATAGGACTGGTGGTAAATTTAGATTTTGCTTTGATGTTACTATGGTGTATTTGCCAGAAGAATCACAGTTTTTTTAAGTCACGCCCACCTTTTGGCATCAAGCCATACTGTGACAAGACCTTGATTGATGAATGAATGATGTCAATTTCCAGACCTGGCTGATGAATGAATTAAGTCAACATTTTTAATTTAAAAAATACTAACATTAGCTTGTCGATGTTCACTTCATAAAATGTTTCTGTATGTTATCTCCGCGTATCCTTAATCAGTAAATGATACATCCTATCTCGATTTCTCGTCATTCTCTTTCCCGTTTCCAAATACAAATAGCATTTTCACATCAGAAGTCCCCGCGTTTTTTTTTTTTTACTTCCAATACCATTTCAAACTTTCATTAAAATGTCACAAATCATTTCATTTTTTTCTGTGCGCTGATTGACATATAGAAAAAGTTCAATGGTGATGTTTCCCATACCCATCCCCCCTTTTTTCATAAAAAAAAAAATAAAAAAAAACCATCTAGAAAGATAAATTTTCTTTCAGAGTTCACGGCTTGAATATAAAAGCCTACAATCGCTACCCCTGTACCTGACAAAAATCATGTTTTCTGCGTCTTCAACATTCCAAAGGTACAATATCTTCACACGTACCAATTCCGAATTTGTTATCAACAATTTGCAGTAGCAGTGACGCAGCTAAGTATGATCCTTGCAGATGGAGACAGCTATTTATACAGACTCCGGACCGTGGCTTGACACCTTGTAGTAGGTGGTGCTAATTATCAACTTGCTTTTCTCTCATTGGTCCTCTGGTACAAGTAACTTACACAATAGATATTAATTGGTTAGCGGTAAATACACTCACAGTTTTTATTCACTCGGGGCTCCGCCCCTCGTGAATGAAAAACTGTGAGTGTATTTACCGCTAACCAATTAATATCTATAGTGTAACTATAACATATATATTTCAACTTACTATGGTAAAGTCAAGGGGTATGAAGTCTGTTTCTTTAAATCTATCATAAATTTCAGCACGACTTATTGTTCCTGTAATCAAATTCACAAAAGCATCTCAATGAAGTGCAATTAAAGGGACATGACTCATTTAATCCTTAATAAATAATTGGAATACTCTCACAAACATACTCTGAACTTTCAACTTAATTTACAACATATATTCATAAATTAATTTACTTTCAAAAAAAAAATTTTGTCTTGGGTATTATTATTAAACAATGAAAATTGAATATAATATATCAGTTTACATATAAAAGTAAAACCTGGTAATTAAGTCAGATTTTCCTGAGACAGCAAATCACTTCTTTATATCCTCGATATGTTATATTCTCTCTGTATTTCATTACACTGAACTTAACACTTCTTGGTGACAAATATGACTTTGTTATGTGTTCAGTTTTTACCAAAGAATGTTCACTATGTATGATTTTTATTGTATTGATTAAAGTTAAACAATGAAAAAATTTCTGGCACAGAAAGAGGTATAAAAGCACATCTATCTGAGTTAATTAAATTCTTACTTTTAGTGAGTCGTTTGAGTTAATTAAATTCTTACTTTTAGTGAGTCGTTTGAGTTAATTAAATTCTTACTTTTAGTGAGTCGTTTGAGTTAATTAAATTCTTACTTTTAGTGAGTCGTTTGAGTTAATTAAATTCTTACTTTTAGTGAGTCGTTTGAGTTAATTAAATTCTTACTTTTAGTGAGTCGTTTGCTTTCCTTATTAAGCTTACTCTTGGCTAAGAGTAATTGTTCTGTGGTAATTAAAGGTCGTTGTTGGCCTTCTTGCACTTTCGATGGGGGTGGGGGTGGAGGGGGAGCTATCGGCTTGATTGCCTGAGGTTGATCCTCATCCAGCTACAACAAGAGTAAATACTATAAGTATTTCTGAACAGTACAATTCAATAAATTAGGAAACCATAAAAAGCTCCACAGGTTTGTAATGCATTATAATCCATCCTCATAAGTTAGTACATACAGTGAAGAAAAATATCTATAAATCTAAATAAATCAAGTAAAAAAAATTAATCTATTAACTTAAGATTGAATTGTAAATGCAATTAAATTTTATGCAGTTCAAAGCCTTATCCCTCATGGAAGTCAGACTTGCTTCAGCAAAATTCAGCAATCTGAGTTTAACAACCGCCTAAGCATTTACTTTGCAAGAATCATAATAAGTATGCTCAGTTTTGATTATCATATCCTTTTGGAAAGTTTTGCAGACAACAGAACAGACAGACAAACTGGCTTAAACCTTGAGCTGCTACAAACAATTTAAACAAACAAGAAAACTACAATGTATATGATTCTCATCCCTACATTTTTAAAACCAACTTTCTTCTTGGCTTTGGTGAGGGCTGCTGGTGCAGATTGGAATTTTCCTGGCATAATGTTAGCCTCCATATTACTCATGTTGTCCATTTCTCGGGGAGGGGGAGTAGGAGGAGGGGAAGGCGTAGTGGGGGGTTCTTGAATTCCCCCCTTCTTTTTCTTCATTTTCTTCAT